CGGGCAGCGCAGCGCAAGTTCATTGCATAGGGAACAAGAGATGCGGTATACCACCAGATGATGGTTGAGGTGTCGTCTTGGAGCCCGATGGACGGTCAGGTGTCCCCCTGATACTACAGCGAGGTGTTAAAAACCTTTAATCTTCATTCAATTCATAACTATGGCAAATTGCTGCGAAGTTATGGGTGGTGCTCCATGTTCTTCCAGCTGGTGGTGATGGTCTTTGGGTGGGTGAGGAACTTGAAGGCAGTTGGACCGTAGAAGTGGAGGTCACCCAAGAAGGAGTTCTTGTTGGAGGTGAAACCGAAGGCGGCGTGTGGGATTGGGACGGAAACGTTGACACCGACCTGGTTGACGTTGATCTCCTTAGTGAACTTGTTGGCAGCTGGACCGGACTGGGTGAAGACAGCAACGGAGTTACCGAACTCGTTCTTGTTGATGTAGTCAATGGTGTACTCCATGGTTGGGACCTCGACGATGGTGAAGATAGGACCGAAAAGTTCCTCATCGACACATCTCATACCCTTCTTGACACCCTTAAGGACGGTTGGGCCGATGAAGTAACCGTTCTTGAACTCCTCACCAGATGGCTTGTTCAAACGACCATCGACGAGCACCTCGGCACCCTTGGCCTCAGCATCGGCAATGACAGCCTCAATTCTCTCGAGAGATTGCTTAGAGACGACTGGACCGAAGTCACCATCTTCGAAACCTGGAGCAGCCTTCAATTGCTTGACGGTCTCGACGATATCTGGAATCATCTCACGGGCCTCACCGACGAGGAAGAGGATATCAGTGGAGAGACAGACCTGACCAGTGGAGGAGAAAGCACCACTGACAACACCCTTGAGGACAGCATCCTTGTCGGCATCTGGCAAGACGACAACGTGGTTCTTAGCACCCAAGTTACATTGGACACGCTTCTGGTGCTTGGTAGCTGTTTGGTGCACGTACTTACCAGCGTTGTTACCACCAACGAAAGTGACAGCAGCGATACGTGGGTCGGAGGCCAACTTGGTGACAGTTGGAGCCTTACCGTGGATGATGTTGATGACACCGTCTGGGACACCAGCCTCCTTGGCGATCTCAGCGAGGAGGGCACCAGTACCTGGACAGAACTCGGATGGCTTGATGACAGTGGTGTTACCAGTGGCAATGATGTAAGGGATGGTCCACAATGGAATCATCACTGGGAAGTTGAATGGCATGATGGAGCCGACAACACCAATTGGCTCTCTGACTGTCTTGGTCTCCATATCGGTGGAAACTTCCAAACCAACCATCTCGGTCTCCTTCAAGACGTTACAAGCGTGTTCAGCACATTGAATGCCACGGTAGACATCGGCAATGGCAGCAGACCAGGCCTTACCCTGCTCAAAGACAATGGTAGCAGCCAATTCGTTGGTCTTGGCCTTCAGCAACTCAACGTACTTGAAAGTGAGCTCCATACGCTTGATGACACTCAACTTCTTGAAAGACTGGAAAGCCTTCTCAGCAGCGTCGATGGCCTCGTCCATCTCCGCCTCGGTGGACTGTGGGACCTTGGCAATGACAACGTCGGTGGCTGGGTCGTAGACGTCGAACCACTCCTTGGAGTCGGACTTCACAGCCTGACCGTTGATGTAGGAGGCGGTGAAGTAAGGCTCGAAGCCTGGCTTAGCATGGGCAGTTGGAACTGCTGGAAGAGCAATCTTGGAGAGAGATCTGACACAGAGCTTAAGCTGCGTGCGTGGGATCTTGTTAAGAGAAGTACGGATGGAAAGCATTGTGCGATAGTAGTATCTTTCGACTGGCTGGACCTGGGGAACAAGAAAAAGAGCACATCAACGGAGGGACTTCAGCCACAAGCAAAGGGCGGATCTGGTGCCTTTTTTATACACGTCCCAGGCCGGCTCCACCACCTCTGCGCTCTGCGCCCTGGTCTCTCCGTACGCTCTGTAACTCATGTACCCCAGAGCCCCCAATTGATGACCACACACCAAGCACACCAAGCACCTGTGTGTAAAATACCTCCATCGGTCCACCAGGATACGGAAACAAGCTCAAAAAAAAGAAAAACATCTGCTGTTTCCGACATGTCGATACTCGAAACCCGTCTCGAGAGGTGAATACCAAAGGGCCTAAGTTCGGATGATTACGTAAACGCGGGGTCGCTCGTTGGGTGGTCCCGTTTAGTGGGGGGGGGGCAGGGCCCCCATCGTCGTTGGTGTTGTTTTGAAGGGGGAACTCCCAATGTTTAAGGGCTCTACATAACAACGTGAGCCAAGCTGATTGGCTCTATCCATCTATTGAAACATCAGTTCGAGTGCTCCGTTGGAGGGTGTGAAACTTTCCATCCAAAAACCGATGAGCGAAATAGCCAAAGGAACTGAAAAAAAAAATGTTCTTAACTCCAGGATGCTGTGCCTCGCGCGTCAGTCTCTGCGTGAACGGTTTTTCCAGGAGAGTTTGATCCGATTAACGGCGACATGCGATTCCCACCATGGCGAGAGAGAGGAGCGACCCAGTTGATCAGATCCCTGCCTGCGAGCTCTCGCTGAAGCATAAGCCGATCTCGTCTACCATGTGGTTATTTCACTCAGCGTGTTGTCAAGGACACTGCAAGAAGGAGGCCAGTCGTGCTATGGGAGGTGCGTGTCCTGTTTTGAAACACATGGAGTGTATCGTGTGTATCTTCCGGGTTGCGGAGGTGTGTAATAAGCACCAGGTGCTGGATCCACTGAGCGACGAGAGGTAAACGTCAGACCACGTCGTTTCTCAACAATGAGCGCCTTTGCTCCATAGGTGCGGACTCCACGAGTTTCATGGCTACATATCTGGGGGACAGAGTTTTACGAAAGAGACATGCTATGTATAATCATACATCACAAGATATGTACATACCTGGGGGGAATGTCAATCACGTTGTCCACAACTTGGCAACACCATCAGCGCCACTACTGAAGACCCATGCCTCCTTTGGATGCCAGACGGCATCCAGGACACCAAGGCTGGAGTTGATCTTATGGCCAGTGAGCTTCTTCAGTGGCACAAGCAATGGGTTAGTCATGAGATCATCATAAACAGTCGCGTGGAACACATGGATCGACCCGTCGTCGGAAGCTGAGCAGAACAGTGGTAAGGACTTGTGGAACTGTACTTGACGGACAGCCTTGTCGTGGTATCTGAGGGTCTTGTATGGCGTAGAACCGGTATCCAGATCGTGCCATAGCACACGCTTATCATAAGATGATGCGATCAGATGGTCACCTCTTGGATGGATGTCGATCTTGCTCAACCAACGAGCACCTGGAAGTAGCTTCTTCGTAAGGACTTGCTGGGACAGATCGTAGATCTTGATGTATCTCTGAGAACAGACAAAGATCTGTGGACGGAATGGATGGAACTTGACATCAGAGATGATACCTTTGGATTTCTTGAATGGTGACTGCGAAGAATGCTTTGAGATTTGATGGATCAAAACAGCAGTGTTACCAGAATCTGGAGACACGGTGACGAAGTAATCACCCTTTCTGTGCCATGACATGGACTTGACGGTCTTACGGCATTGTATTTGCAAAACAACACCTTCACCAACAAGCCTATCAGTTGGTTTGACCCATTGGGCGTACTCGGCTTTCTTTACAACTGGTTCATCGTCATCGGCATCTGAGTCCTCGTTAACGTTTAGCCCTGTCTTCTTAACGTTCCCGTACTTGTTGAAACCGAACCCACTCTCCAATTTCAAACGACCTTGGTTCTCAATGTCGAATCCAAAGATTGGGGGAGATAGTATATAGACACTTTCACCGGCACACACGGCCAACAAGCCCAATTGTCCATCAGGGTTCCAGGAGACGCACTCCACTCTATCTTCGTCGTCGTCATCTTTGGTTCCCACGATTTGTACGCTATAAACTTGTCTGCCTGTTAACACCTCCCAAATCTTTACAGTACCGTCATCAGATCCGGTTGCTAGCCACAGACCAGATGGATCGACACTCAGAGTTCTAATCTTGCCCTTATGACCAATGTATTCAGTAGAGCATTTGATTGGGAATGGTCTGAGGTCCTTTGGACTTGGTAATTCAGGCACAAGAGATTCTGGGTCGATATCCAACTTGTTACGACGAACACGCGGTGCAAGGTACAGATCCAAAGAACGTTCGAATCTTTCTCTGACGGATTCCTCATAACCTGGAACTTTACGCAGTGAGCCGAACTTTTTAGGGATGAAGTTACGTTCACGATCAATTGGATCAGTGGATTCCCATTGTGCAATCTCCTCTGCTGTTGGGAGGTACTCCTCTGGTGGGTTATATGATTCCTCGTTGGTAGGTGGTGCAACCTTTGGTGCCCTCAAGGTCATGATGTGATCAGCAACGACATCGCTGTTGTCACCCCATAAATCATAACTTTGTTCCTCCACTTGTTCTTCGGTCTTCTCCTTTGGAACGATTCTACCATCTCTAATGGCTCTCACAATCTTCATGATACGCTTAGCCTCGTGCTTCGAAGGAACAAAACGTCTCTTTGGTTCAGGAATCGCTGTAACCGGCATCACTTCTGTTTGCGAGGTGAACCATTCAATAGTTGGCTCGTAAGGGTTGATACTATCGTCAGTCATTCTGTTACTCTCGATCTTTTCGATGAGTTCAATCTCCTCCTGTGTCAAGTTCAAGCTGGAACCTGTGTTTGAATCCAACAATCCGGTCCATCCCTCTGGCAATTCAATACTATCCAGGAGCTGTTCCAAAGCTGAGCCCTTTGCAGGACGCATGATACGCTTACCGTTGATATCATAACCGATATGAGGGAACTCTTCGTACGCACTAAGTGGGATGTTTCCAATGGTGTTGAAGTTCTCAGCATCACTGTCATCAGACTCGTAGACAGGCTCAATCTCGGGCTTGATGATACGCTCTGTACCATCAGAATACTTGGATAGCTTAATTCCATCCTCTTGAGAGCCTTGCGATAGCGAACGGATGTGCAAGTTCTGAAGTCTGTCGGTGAAAGACACTGGCTCTTCAGGCTCATCAAAGTCAACAGATGAAGTTTCCGACTCCTCACCTTCGTCTTCTTCCTCTGCCTCTTCGCCAAGAAGCTTGTTCAGCTCGGCATCGGAGTCCTCTTCTTGCTCCTCAGTTGCCACTTCACCAGCTACCTCCTCGTCATCGGAAGGCTCATCATCGTCAATTAATCCTTCAACAGAGAAATCCTCATCTTCACTCTGCTCTTCCTGCGATTCTTCGGCTGATACATTGGAGATGCTTTCATCTTCAATCTTACGCTTACGTGCTGGTGTGGCAGCACCCTTTTTCACAGATTTGATAGCCATTTAACGTCCGATTAGCAACGCCTTTTGCAATGCTTCAAGGTATATAAACATGGAAAGTTGAAGAGATGATGAGGGCTCGAAATTTTTTTTCCAATTACTTTTATTACGTAAGCGATGAGATATCCTAATTAGGAAACTTTTGTAGGTCAATATTACCCTACCTGACAGTCCATTCTGTGGTCGGGTAACTGTGAACTTTTCCGAACACCAAGTACGGTCCCTTGGCCCAGTTGGTTAAGGCGTGGTGCTAATAACGCCAAGATCAGCAGTTCGATCCTGCTAGGGACCATTTGTTTTTTTTCACTCATTATAGGCCAGAATTATATAATTGCTATAATTCAAGGCCATCAACGCCTAGTTGGAGCTTGTAACATTAGCGAAGTGTATCACTTCTTTCATGGACAGCAAAAATCTTTGGAGTATTTCCACTACAGACCAGTCATCTCAGCAGATGCCAGTGACGATCTGGCAATGCTCTTTGTGCCTGTTTAACCCGTACATAGTTGTATCACCAGTGTTTAAGCTGGAGAGTAGAAATGGTGCAACCGAACAGGTTATAACTCGTCATACATACTCATGTTTTGTTTAAATTCACCGGCTTCCATTAAGCTAAAGAGGATGTGAATTACTAATCACTTGTCACTCATTCGACAAGCACGTCTGAGCCGTTAAAATGTGCTAAGCACGTTCCATTATCAACTAGAACTGTCACCATCATTATCCATCTTCGAAGGCATTGAGACAAAATTCAACATTGTTAATAACTGTTGTCAGAAGCATGTGTCTATACAGTCATCTAAACCTTTCTAGACATCCATAGACCCCATTACAATGCTAGCACCTCCTTCCTACATCAAGATAGTATATCAAAATTCTTATTAATTTAAGCTCTTCTAACGATCATAAACTAGTAAGGTTAAAATCCACAAAACAGTTGAAATCGAAACCCAAAGAGAAATGAAACAGTCAATAAAGATAATGTATGTATATAACCACCAAAACATGACAAAGGACCATCAACCGCAGCAAATGGCTCTCATATATGCACCTCTATCTTTCAAATTTTGCTGCCACGCTCATTTAAAACATAAAGAAAGAAAAGAAAAGAAAATTACCATCAAACAAAAGTTTCAAACTCTTCATCATCTTCTGCAATACTTCAGACTGCTTAGAACTCATCGTCAGATGAGACGTAGGCATCACCCATCTCTTTCTTCTTTTTCATTCTCTCTTTCTTCTTCTTTCTCAACTCCGCAGAAGAAAGTTTGGTCTTCTTCTTGGTAGCGTTGATCTTGTTACCCATAGCATCAAACTTGTCTTCATCGTCCTCCTTCTTCTCCAATCTTGGACCGGAACCTTGACCGGCGACCCAGTTGTGACCAGATGGAGTCATCTTACCGTCAACAACGGCCCAGACTTCCTCAGTCAAGTCCTTAGTGAACTCAGCAGAGTGGGTAATGATGATGATACCACCCTCGAAGGCCTTCAAAGCCTTGGACAAAGCACCAAGAGAATCACGATCCAAATAGTTGGTTGGCTCATCCAAGACGATCAAGTGAGGTCTTTGCCATGTACAAGCAGCCAAGACCAACTTGACCTTTTGACCACCAGACAAACCTCTGATTCTGGAGTGGGAAACCAATTCAGCATCCAAACCCAACATAGAACAGTGGGACTCAATCTCCTTTCTGGTCAAAGCACGGAATTGACCGGAAGCCAAAGCCTCCTTCATATCAACCTCAGCAACCATCTTGGAGTGAGTCTCAACAAGCTCACCTCTTGGCAACCAAGCGTTGTCAACAGACATCATTGGAACCCATCTCTCGTTCTTCATACCAATGTTCTCACCAAGAGTGAAGGAACACTCGTACTCGTAGGTGTTCTTGAATTTTCTTCTACCGTGGATACCAGCAATACGTCTTGGAGTACCCTCGATCTTGAAGATCTTGTTCATGGCTTGCTCATCGTTCTCGTTGATTTGTCTGGAAGCTCTGTCCATGGTTTCTCTGTCCTCACCAGTTTGGAATCTCCATTGGATGTACTCAGATGGAGTCTTGTCCAAGTGGGAATCAATGTGAGCGAAAGCGTGTTGCTTGATGTAAGCGATACGACAGTTCTCGTGGACGTAAACCTCACCGGCAGTTGGAAGCAACTCACCAGTCAAAACGTTAATCAAAGTGGACTTACCAGCACCGTTTGGACCAATGACAGCAATTCTGGAAGAAAGGGAACATTGGAAGTTAATGTCAGAAATTTGTGGCTTGGTGGTACCTGGGTATTGGAAGGTCATGTTGGAAACCTTGACAATAGCCTTTTGCTTGGTCTTAACACCCTCCAAGAAACCTGGCTCTGGGAATCTGAACTCCAAGTCGGAGGCACCCAACTCGTGGTAGGACTTAGCAGATGGGACTCTCTTGACGAACTCAGACAAGTTACCCTTGTACTTTCTCAACTTGAAACCCTCGTAGTGGATAATGTATTGGACAACGTTGTCCAAGAAACCAGAGTCGTGGGAGACAATGATAGAGGTAATACCACAGGTGTTCAAGTAGTTAACCAACCAAGCAACGTTGACGGTATCCAAATGGTTAGTTGGCTCATCCAACAACAAGATATCAGCGTTCTTCAAGACGGCTCTAGCAAGAGCCAATTTCATCTTCCAACCACCAGAAAGGGATTGAATTGGCATGTTGATCATAGCATCAGAGAAACCGAACTCTCTCAACTTGTCCTCAATGGTCTCCTTGGAGACACCGGTAACACCGTCCTCAAAGACGAAGTCAACAACAGAGGTATCAGCGTGAGTACCATCGATATCGTGCTCGACGTAAACGGTACGACATTCCTCTTGAGTTGGGAAACCCTCAACTTGACCGTTAGCGATAGCTCTCATCAAGGTGGACTTACCAGCACCGTTTGGACCACACAAACCATATCTTCTACCACGCTTCAATCTAAGTTGGGTCTTGTTCAACAAGATCTTAGCACCATAAGCCAAGGAGAACTCACAGTTACACAAGTCCTCACCTTCATCATCCTCATCTTCGAAAGATGGTGGTTGTGGAATGTTGTCAATGGCACGCTTTCTCCACTCGTCAATGTCAGCCTTAGCCTCCTTCTCGTGCAAGAAGACGGTCAAGTAGTTGGTCAAGTGCTCGTACCAAGCAGCTTGGTCAATGACACGCTCGTCAATCAAGTCACCGGCAATGTTAGCAGCGTAGTCGAGGACAAGGGCGAATCTTGGGGCAACCTCGATCTTGTTCTCAGACAAGATGTTGGTCAACTCCTTCTTGGTGACTTCCTTGTCACCAGCGGTGGAAACCTCTGGGATGGAGTCATCCTCTGGGATGGCACCAACTCTTCTCAAGGTGTTCAAAGCTCTCAAGGTAACGTCACGAGCTTCTGGGTCAGCAATGGTGGCGAAGTTAGCCTTCAAAGCTGGGAACAACAAGACCATGAAAGGAGCAACAACTTGTGGATCGTCGACAAGCTTACACATGTTGTCAACGATAACGGCAGCCTTACGCTTGATAGCAGTGTCACGCTCAGCCAAACCTCTGGACAACAATGGAACCATGATGGACAAAGTAGCAGTGGTAACCTCAGAGACGAAGGTGGTGGCACCCAAGATGTGAACAGTTTCTGGAACCTCAGTTGGTTTAGCAATACACTCAATCAACTTTGGAATGAACTTTTCAATATCCTTGTTGTGGACAGTGGTGGTGGCAGTGGTGATGGTGGCAGTGGCAGCCTTCTTCACCTCTGGCTTGGTATCCCACATGGCCTCAGAGAGGACTGGGATCAACTCAGGCATTCTAAGGGCAACTTGCTCCTCAGCGTGCTCAACGACAACGGAGATGGCGGCCAAGATGGCAACCTTCTCTTGCCATTTGTTGGTCTCCTCAAGAGCCTTGGTGAAGTGTGGCAAAAGGGCCTTGACAGCTCTTGGGTTGACAGAGCCGGCAATGGCAACAAGGGCCTTAGCAGCCTTCTCTCTAACAGCCTGGTCCTTCTCACCAGCCTTCTTACAGATCTCTGGAACCAAGTCAACAATGAATGGCTCGACAGATGGCGACAAGTTGTTCTCGGATGAGATGTGAACAACAGCCTCCAAGGCGTTGGCAGCAGCCTTCTTGTCGGAGACAGACTTCTTCAACTGCTTGAAGAACTCTTCTGGAACATCGTGTTCAATGATGGAACCGTTCAAGAAGGAGGAGACGTTGGTGGCAGCAACGTCAACCTCATCGGCAGTAGCAACGGACAACTTTTGGAAAAGCTCGTTAAGAACCTCAACGGATTGCTTAGAATCAGCCATTTTTAGTTGGTTGTGTTCTTTGTTTTGATGGAGTTGGCGGTAAGAAGAAAAAGAGAGAGAGAAAAAAGTTGAGGGAAAAATTTTTCTCTTTGTAGTTCAGCAAATTTTTTTTTCTCAGCGATGAGAAGGAAAAACCACAAAAAGAAAATCACAAAAAGAAAAGAAGATCGGTGGTGTTCGGGTGCTTATGTAAGCAAAGAGATAGGATACACAGGGTGAGAAGGAACTGTGCAAACAGCACCCTGTGGGCCCCACTCAGGTGGTCTCACAGCTGTCATCGTCCACTTGAGCTCTCGTCCAATTGGCCTTTGGCCCCCATATAGCACCGCTTGTGTAGACAACGTGCACTGTGAAGAGGACGAGGAAAAAGAAACGAGACAATGTGGGCCACGCAACGTTGACTTCCGTTTTGGGAATTGCTGTGCGTGATGAGCACGCATTGTTTGGGCACGTGATTATTCCCCAGGTCTTTTCTGATGCTGTTCAATAAGCAATGGATGTAAGTTGTTGGTTGTTTGAGGATGTGATTGACGGTGTGGTGGGTGGGTGGAGTGTCGTGTAGAGATTGGCCTGGCGAGTGTGCGCTGTGGGTGTTGTGTTGGTTGTTGTTATATCTCACGATCTCGTGTTACACTTTTAAGTGGAGGACCCTATGGGCTGCAGGTTTGAAGGTGATGGCTTGTGTATGCGGTAATGGTCAGGTTTAGACATCACAGAGGTGTCTGTGTTTGCTGTTTGGTGGCCTTGGTGTAAATCTTGGTATTTATTTGATCATGAGAATACCATTGGCGTTGTTGTGAGTATCTGCATCATCATCAGCAGCAACAGCATCAGTAGCAGCAACAGCATCAGTAGCAGCAACAGCATCAGTAGCAGCAACAGCATCAGCAGCATCATCACCATGCTCAATGCTACTAACACTCTCATTGCACCCTGACACTGCTAGACGTAACCACGCATACACAACGACGGTATGTTCCCCATGATATCAGCACTGAACCCTTGCAATGACGTGATTGTCGTCTCATAAGGCCATGAAGATCTCGTCCCCATGCGGTCGGTAATGTACCCGAATGTGGCTATTTTATCGAAAGTCTACAGAAAGTTGTATAAACCTCGATGTCTTTATAAATAAGCCTATTGTGCTTCGATGATAAACTTCAAACACAATTGTCCTGAAACCAAAGATGTTTTGGCAAAAAGTTATTGGATTCATCCTACCTGTTCTAGGTGGCTATGGCCAATATGACTACACCGGAAGTTCAACAAGCAATCAAACCTTGCACTATCGTTACAACTCGACACATGGATTGAACAACTCTACGATTGACGAGTTGTTTCAACTGCACAGGACTCTTGTCGAGATTCCGTCCGTCACTCTATATGAACTAGAGGTTGGCCAGGTGCTTGAAGCTCACTTAACTTCAAGAGGGCTGACAGTGGATCGTCAGCAAGTCTCTGAGGATAGATTCAACCTTTTGGCATATAAAGGTGCGGTGAATGAAACACGAGTGTTGCTGGTATCTCATATCGATACAGTACCTCCGTTTCTCAACTACTCTTTATCAGAGGACGGTTATCAGATCTATGGTCGTGGGTCGGTTGATGATAAAGCATCGGTCGTTGCACAGACGTTTGCCTTCTTGGAGCTGCTTGACACATTGGGAGAAGGCAGTGTGTCTATCTTATTCGATGTTGGTGAGGAAGCAGGTGGTGCAGGCATCAATTACATAGAGGCAAATATCGATTACCATTGGGACACTGTGATCTTTGGAGAGCCTACAGAGTTGAAGCTAGGCGTGGGACACAAGGGTGTCTACGGTGGCTCCCTCAAAGTCAATGGTTTGGCAGCCCATTCCGGATATCCAGAGCTTGGAATCGATGCCAACGGGATACTGATCGACATCCTGTCCAATTTAAGAGGCATTGAATGGCCAAGTGATGAGCTCTTGGGCAATACAACCCTAAACGTTGGTGTTATCGAAGGAGGTGCTGCTGCCAATGTCATCTCCGCCAATTCCAGTGCACAGCTGCTCTTCAGAGTGACCAATGGTATCGATTTGATCGATGCTTTGGTGCAAGACGCAATTGACAGAACTGGCCATTCAGACCGTGTTGAGTTTACAGGCACTCATAAACTACCACCTGTATACTTCGACTACGACGTTGAAGGGTTCGAAAGCATAGTCCTGGCTTACGGAACAGATGCATTTGGACTAGCAAAGAAGCAAATCCCACACAAGCTGCTATACGGGCCTGGCACCATCCATGTTGCCCACAGTGCTACTGAGCACATCTCTACTGATGACCTCCTCGAAGCAGTTCAAGGATATAAATCTCTGATCAAATGGGCCTTAGAACAGTAATCAGCTTCATATGTCCACTCATGTAGCAATCACTAAACGTCTAGTTAGCCTTATACGTGTCAATTGACCGTACTTTCCCTCAGTATTAAACCTGTAGATGAAGATGTTGGTACACATCCATGCGCCTGGTGTACGGGTGTTGTTGCCGGAGATTCATCACCAAATCCATTTACTCCCCAAGCTAACGCATACAACCACCGTGGAAAGAGACTGTAATCACCGTCACACACCAATTGGCCTGCTATGGTGAACTATATCTCGGTCTTTGCCACTGTTCTGCTGCTTCACGCTGGTTATTCATCTTATGAGTATACGAATTTCGTCAAGACTCATAGATCCTCAATCCCGTTCCCGAACGACATTGCATTAGAGGTTGGGCTGAGTATGCTCCTGTATCTTGTGAGTGCTCTGCTTCTACCAAGGGGAAACAAGGAGCTGAGCCTTGTTGATGACGGCCGCGTGGTATCGAGGGGTTTGCTGAGACCAATCCTGATGAGGGATGCTGTTGTTGAAGATGAGATCAAAGGTGCAAATGTGATGTTCAAGCCTGTGGAAACAAGAGTGGGATTCATCGATATCTTGAGGTTGAGAAGGGAGTTTGCAGCTTGGGAGGAGACACAAGAGGGTGCTGGGGAGAGCTTTGGAGAGTCTGATAATGCTGAAAAGTCTGACAGTGCTGAAAAGTCTGATAATGCTGAAGAGCCTGAAGACAAATCTGATACAAAGACAAAGGCTAATGGCCCACATAAGAAGAAAACATAAGCTTGTATCACACTGGATAGCAATTGTAGCACTTCTTTATATACCTACAGCTGTAAATCAAACAAATGTATTCAAAGAGAAGCAACGGACAATGACATAGCTGAATATCGAATATCACACCTTATACAAAGTATCAAGGAAACCTTCCACCAATCTATCTGCAACACCACTAGTCTGAACACTTCCCGCAACACCGTATAAGGCAGCAGTGTCACTTTTAACAACACCGTCGTGGTTCAATTTTTTTATACAAGTCTTTAATGTCTGTATCAACTCATCAACAGAACCAATGGATGGTCTTGTAACAGCCAAATGCAGAGCTGGTGGCTTTTGAAGAGTACTCAAATGCCATCCTTCCTTTGACAACAGATCAGACAGCTCATAGATGTTGATCACGTCAGATTTAAACGACACAACACTGCACAGTGGGTCACCAATTATGGACAGCTCTGGAATCTCCTTTCTGATTCTTGTCTTCAGATCTCTGGCAGCACCAACGATATCTCTACAGCTCTTTGTATAGCCATCGTCACCAATCTTCAACAACGTTGCCCAACATCCAACCATAAGTGCACCTGGTCTTGAGCCTGCCAACGTTGGAGAGCCGTACAGTCCACCTACCCACTCAGAGTTGATGTAATACTGAGACGCACGGAGCTCTCTATTACGGTACATGATGATTGAGGATCCCTTTGGTGCAAATCCATACTTGTGTGTATCACAGGAGATGGAAGTAACTCCTGGAACACGGAAGTCAAAAGGTCTCAGCTCGTTAAAGCCAGCTTTGGCCATGTAGGAGACAATAAACGAGCCCAAGCAACAATCCACATGTACTGGGATGTTATACTTCACGCCCAATGCTCCTATGGCCTCTATGTCATCGACGATACCGTGTGGGAAGTTTGGAGCAGACCCTGCCAACAACACTGTATTGCCATTTATAAATCTCTCCATCTGACTAACGTCCACTTTGAAAGTCTTTGGATTCAATGGGACGTGGTGCAGCTTTATACCAAAATAGTAAGAAGCCTTATCAAACCCAGCATGTGCAGTTTCTGGTATAACCATCTCTGGATGCTTAATACCTCTATGACGTTTCGCATACACCGCAGCACTTAGACAAGCCAATAGTAGCGACTCAGTACCACCTGAGGACGAGCCACCAACACCTGACTGTGGTGCGTTGAACAGGCGAAGCACCATGCTGACAACCTCGGCCTCCATCTTGCGCACTCCTGGGAACACATCTGGGTGGAGCTGGTTGGCTACACAGTAGGTCTTGAAAGCCTTTGCCTGGATGTCGATAACGTCGTCACCACCGTGATACACGGCACCAGAGACCTTGCCATTTTCCCACTCTGAATGTTTAAGATCGCTCAATTCATCCATGTAATGCGTGATCAGATCATCCGTCAGCCCAGTAGGAGGAATCACCTTGAAATCTTCAACAGAGGGTGTTTGGACGATGAGCGACTGCTCAATCTTCACCACAACCTCGCCAACTTCAGCATCCACTTTCGACTTGAACGGTGGAAGAGTTAGTACCCACTGCATCGTACGTTTACTCAGCCTGTGCACCACCAATCTGGGGTAGCCAATCAAGCCATACCCTCTGATGTTATTCCACAGTGAAGATAGCCAGGATACGACAACGCTAGCGTACAAGTGTCAGTCACACCAAATCTCAAAAGTGGTGGTATAAGCAAGCAAGGAGCTGTCGTTTCACAGCTCCATGCTGCAGCCATTCAGTACTTACATTGCAAATACAAGATCCCGGGCGCTGTAACAAAGCATGAGCGTACGCGTTAGTATCAGTGCAGTTGATGCTATCTTCACAGGGGGACACTCACAGCTCAAAGACAGTAGCATTGTACAGGTAGGATAGCGACGCCATCACTATCCACCTGGAAAGGGGCTCTAGCCGAGTGCTAAATTGCTCCAGTGTACTCGAAACCATCGTACTGGAGGCACAGAAGTATTGGAATAGTAAGCAGTAACACCAAGCAACAGGAACAACAGCGAACTGAAACGGGAATCCGGTGGGTTTTTCAATTGCACCCTCTCCAACACAGCTGGCCTGTCTGACGGGTAAACGGTTAACGGAGATCAAGGAGACGTACAAGAATGTCCGTGATCAGTGCTTCCAAGTGCTAGAAAATGAGCCCGGCTCTGCCCTCCCTATGGTGTCTGTCAAATAAATGGCGGGTAAATCGGATTAATACCAAAGCCGATGCATGTACACAGAGTATAATTCCAAAAAGGGAAACACGAGGCATGCCTGTGCCACGTGACCCATATCCCCCGGAACTTACCCGATACGGAAGCTTCCTGATCCGGCTATTTACGCTCCCTTTTGCTTTCTTTTTGCTGCTTTCCTATGCATCCTCCGCAGGTGAGTCAGTTCATCAAATTTCCAAGTCCAACGACGTAGAGGAACTTTCCTCCGTGCCCCCAATCACAGCTCTGTTCATAGCTCATCAACCAATCACGATCTCCCCCCTTCCCTCAGCGAAATGTCGTGCGAACCGGGCTCCTTGGTGGCCCTGATATCGGGTGTCTCCGGAGGTGTTTCGTTTGCGTCGTGGCTAGTGGCTCTCCTTCCTCAGTTGCTCGAGACATATAAGACCAAGTCCGTGGAGGGCTTATCGCCAGTGTTTGTGCTGATCTGGTTCCTCGGTGACGTGTTCTCGTTTGCCGGATGTGTGCTCACGGAGCAGATGTTTTTCCAGTACCTGCTGGCGAGCTACTTCCTGATGAACGACATGATCATGCTGGGCCAGTACTACTACTATGGTTACCACTGCAAGAAACACCATCACAAGTTCCATCACCTGCACACTGGCCACAGCCATAGCTGTGAGGACCCTGAGTACGGGGCCACGTCGTCACACACAGCGTCCACTGCTGGTGCCATTGCAAGAGCGTCGATTCCAGCTGTTGTTGTTGCTTCGCAGGTTGGTTCCTCAGAGGCCCGTCAACTGTTGACCACGGGAGGCTATATCGCCTTGCAGCAGACCAATTATAAGTTCGTCTTGGGCACGGTGTTTGCATGGATCAGTGCTGCTCTGTACTTCTTCTCCAGAGTACCACAATTGTGGAGAAACTACAAGAGGAAATCCACTGACGACGTTTCCCCCTTCCTCTTTGGGTGCTGTCTCATCGGGAATGCTACTTATGCTATAAGCATTTTGGTTAGTTGTGATTTCATTTATGGGGGTGACGACAGATGGCCTTTCTTCCTGAACGAATTGCCTTACATGATTGGAAGTGCAGGCACTATAGTGTTTGACATTGTCTATTTCTACCAGCTATGGTTATACTCATACAAGGAGCCAAAGGATTTCGAAGAACAACCATTGTTGACCAATAGTTAGACCACCTCGGCTACATATTTCATTGATAGTCATGTTATATTCATAATCTCAACTGCTATAAACCTTGTGCAACTCTGGGACGAGGTGGATCACCTCGTCCACGTTGTTTGCACGAGGTATTTGACAAATCACATTAGCTCCGTATGCGTCCAACGTCTTTGCATTATCCTCGTCGAGATCGCCGTTCAGGATAACACCTAGAACCTCGACATTTCGACGCTTCAAGTGCTCCAGCGTTAACAATGTATGGTTTAGAGTGCCCAACTGCGATCTTGCAACGATAATGACGGGACAGCGTAGTTGTTCTACGAGATCAGTGGTTATCTCAGTTTCAGTAATCGGGACAAATACTCCACCGGCGCCTTCAACAATCAGAGGCTTGTCATCTTCCTTGTACTTCTTTGGAATGGAGATGGAGCTGATATCAATACGTTCTCTGTCTTCAAGCACAGCTGCCCTCCACGGACTCAATGGCTTTTGATACATGAGCGCAGGCTCGCAAAGTGCTTGAACACCGCTTAACTTATACACTGAGACAGTATCACCACAATCGGACTCTAACCCAGTCTGTATAGGCTTCCAATAGTTTGCTCCCCATCTCTTGCACAGAAGAGCAGAGATAAAGGTCTTCCCAACATCGGTATCGGTTCCAGTAACAAAGATGTTCATCGTAGGACGCTGTGCAAACAGAAGAGGTCTGTAGCTGCACTGCTGATGAAAGAGCCAACGAATGAGCTTATATACTCCAATTTTCTCCCCTATTCTCGAGACATAGGAGCCAATTGGTCAAAATAGCTTCATACGGTTGGTCAACTATCTCTATACTATGCCGAAAACGGTGTATAATTGAGTCAAAAGATGACTCGTCAAAGATGTACACGACTTGCATCAACATACGTCGAGGAGTCAACATCTTGCAGTTGCAACAGGAGACTATAAAAGCCAAAAGGAGAAGATTTATAGTCAGAGCCAATGAGAACCAGCCCTTTAAAATCATCCAGTTGTCATCGACCAGTACCAATGAATACAGTCGAAGCCATAAAGTTCGACAAAGAACACATCTGGCACCCGTATACCTCGCTTACGAACCCGTTGCCATGTTACCATGTTAGTTCCGCAAAAGGCTGTAAGATCACTCTGAGCGACGGCAAGGAACTTATCGATGGTATGTCGTCCTGGTGGTGTGCCATCCATGGTTACAACAACGAGAGCTTGAACAATGCAGCAATTCAGCAGCTTGGTAAGATGTCGCATGTGATGTTCGGAGGGCTTACTCATGATCCAGCGATCTCTCTCGTCTCTAAGCTGGTCTCTATCACAGACCCAAGGTTGGACTGCTGCTTCCTAGCAGACTCGGGATCTGTTGCTGTTGAGGTTTCCCTGAAAATGGCTATTCAATACTGCCATGCTATTGGTAAACCGCAAAAGAAGATGTTCCTGACAATTGGTAACGGATATCACGGTGATACCTTTGGTGCAATGTCCGTGTGTGACCCTGTTAACTCTATGCATTCTCTCTATTCCGGTTACATGTCCCGCAATATCTTTGCTGAACCACCAAAGATTGGTTTCCTAGAAGACTGGGATGACAGGGACTTCCAGGATTTTAAGACCAAGATGGAGGAGAACCATGAGAACATCGCAGCAGTTGTTCTTGAGCCCATCCTACAAGGTGCCGGTGGTATGAGGATGTACCATCCAGAGTATTTGAGAAAGGCTCGTAAACTATGTGATGATTATGGAATTCTTCTAATCTGTGACGAGATTGCTACTGGCTTTGGAAGAACTGGTAAACTGTTTGCCTGTGAACATGCCGGTATTGTCCCAGATATCATGCTTCTCGGCAAAGCAATCACCGGGGGTTATATGACTCTATCAGCTGTCATGTGCCAAAGATTCGTTGCTGACACCATAGGTTCAGACCCAGCAACCGGTGGGTTACTGATGCATGGCCCAACATTTATGGGCAACCCACTTGCCTGTGCTGTTGCTACAAAGTCCATGGAAATAATCCAAACTGGCCACTGGGAGAATCAAGTTAAGACGATTAACAACCAGATTCAAAGGTTACAAGTTCTTTCAGGCCTCCCAGTGGTTAAACAGGTGCGTACTCTCGGAGCGATTGGAGTAGTTGAGCTTCACAACAAAGTCAACATGGCCTGGTTCCAGGCAAAATTTGTTGAACGAGGAGTATGGATTAGACCATTTGGTTCTTTAGTTTACGTCATGCCACCGTATATCATTGCTACAGACGAGCTTGAGGCTTTGATTCAATCTATGATTGAAGTTATTCAATTATGGAGCGACGACTTTACAAATATCTGAATAGTTACTCTTTCTGACATAACCTGGTTTCAAGGACACTGTAGGATCTTGTAGTTCAAGCATACCACTAAATGGTTCACTCATACTCAGACCCAAGAGTCTAAGCTGATCAATGCTAAACTGCTTCCAGTAGTCAATTGGTGTAGTCAAATAGATATTCTCCTTTTGTCTAGAAGTGGCAGAAGACATGAACAAGATCAACAAGGTACGGAACTCATCCTTGGTGACATTTGCACCTGCGCCATGGAAGATAGAAGCCAACATGAAAAACCCATCACCAGGTTCCAACCCATCAATATACATACAGTCCTCTTCAAAGCGAGGTTTTCTCAGGTGATCCCACAGATGAGAACCAGGGATGAACCTAGTACCACCGTTTTCCTTTGTAACCCTGCTCAAGGCGACAGAGATACCAACCTGGGTCTCTCTACCATACACATACTTGTCAACCTTCTCTTGAACGTTATGTTCAGAGTGGTCATCACGATGAATTCCCTGCGCTGGTGCCCCTGGCCCGACCCTGAACCCGATAGAGCTGGAAATGATTGATGGAGAGTAGCCAATGTTGATATTATCAGCGATCCAAAATGCGTTCTTCTTAGCAAGGAACTTCTCGCTCACCTGAACGTTCAAGGGATGAGACAAGATCTCGTTGACCACAGCTGGTGATTTGGATACAGCACCAGTAACCCTGATAGTTTCCTTTGGGAAAAGACGAGGATCGTCCTTCTTGGCCTCAAAGATTGGATCCAAATCGTTGCAGACCCTCGCAACTTGTTCAGGTTCCAAGAACTGTTTGACAACACAAACACCGTACTTTTCAAGCATTGCAGAAACAGTGTCTACATTGGCCTCTTCCTTGGACAATGTCAAGTCAGCCATCGTCAACTTTGGCACCGGTGGCTCTTCAATTGGAAGCTCCAATTTGGCAATCTTTGTTTCGGATAAACTTGGGGTGTTGGCGTATGCATTATCGGCCGCCTTTGGCAAAGTGTGCAATTGCAAACGGTGTAAGGTCTTCGTAGTTGCTAACCCGATATATTCTTCACTTGAAATGTAATCCATTGTCGATGTGGTATCACTTGTTCGTGTATCACACACTCAAAAAACAGACAATGAACTGAAACCAAACGCAGCTGTTATATACCCATTTATGTGGGTACCTTAGCAACGGTTATGACTCGTCTCGATGCGGAAATGTCTGGGGAGTCATCGGAGAAATGTTGCATGAATGGTGCATGAAGTGTAAAGACTCCACGAGGATGAGAATGGCATTGAAGATGATTGGTTGAATTCTCATCAGCTGATATAATCTTCCATGCTTTTTGGTAATCATCTAGTGAATTGAATCATCACTGATGACTCATTGGAACCAGGAGGGATGAGTTAGTGGTGGGGCAATTTATAAGCATGCAAAGAATTGTGGTCTCATTTGACAAAGGCTTCTTCTTCGCTCACTTAACGGATAAATAAACCATGGATAGGGAATTCGACAAGCAACATATATGGCATCAGTACTCCTCACTGACCAATCCGATACCGACGTACCCTGTCAGCAAGGCCAAGGGTGCCAAGGTCTATCTTGAAGATGGAACTGAACTGATTGATGGTATGTCATCCTGGTGGAATCAGATCCATGGGTATAACAACGACGAGCTAAACCAGGCAATGTACGACCAGATTCCAAAGTTCACTCACTTCATGTTCGCCGGTGTGTCCCATGAGCCGGCAATTGCACTCTCCAAGAAGTTGATTGAAATGACGCCTGACGAGCTGGACAACGTCTTCTTTGCTGACTCTGGATCAGTTGCTGTTGAGGTTGGCTTGAAGCTTTCACATCTGTACTGGGCGGGTAAACGTGAGATGGGCCAGACGGACAAGCCAAAGCACAGGTTCTTGACCATCAACTATGGTTATCATGGCGATACCTTTGGCGCAATGTCCGTCTGTGATCCTGTGAACTCAATGCACAGGAACTACAGTGGGTATCTGACAAAGAACTTCTTTGTCGAGGCTCCACAGTCCAGGTTTGACGGTGAGTTTGACCCTAATGACGTTGAGCCACTTCGTAAAGCACTCGAGCAGAACCATGAGTCCATCGCAGCTGTTATTATGGAGCCCATAGTACAAGGTGCCAGTGGTATGAGAATCTATCACCCAGAATACTTGAGACAAGTGCGTAAACTGTGTGACGAGTTTGACTGCTTGATGGTGCTAGATGAGATTGCTACAGGTTTTGGGAGAACAGGCAAGCTATTTGCCTGTGAGCACGCCGGTATTGTCCCTGATATCATGCTATGTGGCAAGGGGCTTACAGGTGGTTATCTACCACTCGCTGCAGTCTTGATGAAGCGTCACGTCGCTGAATGGGTCTGTGAGAACCCATCAAAGAGGTTCTTCCATGGTCCCACATACATGGCACATGCCTTGGCATGTGCTGTTGGTGATAAATCTTTGGAGATACTACAAAGAGGTGAATGGAGGTCCCAGGTTGCAAAGATTGCAAAGATCTTCAAGGAGGAACTCTTTGACAAGTTACAAGGTTTGGCCATCGTGGAGGATCTTAGAGGGCTAGGAGCGATCGCAGTAATCCAGCTTGTTAAGCCTTTTGAAACTGAACAACTCCAGGCGTTATTTGTCAAGCAAGGACTGTGGGTTAGGCCATTTGGCAAGTTAATCTATCTTCTTCCACCGTTTGTCATTGAAGAACAAGACATGTACAAACTATGCAGAGGAACCGTCAATGTCGTTAAAAGCTTGAAACTGTGAGGATGAATGCACATAAAGCAAGTAACAATGTAGACGTTGCCGAGATGAACTGTTGATTGGACAGTCCTTACGCGTATTTTTGTTTACGTCAATGCAAATAAACGTTTGTTATATTTACGCGTCTATGCGTCGTTTGCTGGTTATTATCCAAATTTTACGCAAAATATTCTGTAATTACCGTTTTGGAAAGCGAGGTGGGTGGGTTTGCGCAATTTCGCGCACCCGAAACACCAAAGCTTTCCTTGCTTTTTTCGGCTCGGTCGGTGATGATCTGACGTGATATTTCCCGTGTCGCGAAGAATCGTTTCCAGGTCTCTGCAAACCGGATCTACCATATCTGGGGCGCCTTTTAGAAAGGGCTTCTTGGAAAGCCCCAGGGGCACAGGGCTCCAATTTTTAAGCTCAAGGTATATATCTTTTCAGCTCAACCACTGGGTCGGTTGATCCTTAGGCGTTCCAATCAAATACAGGCCTTTCGATGGTAACTATGGAACGCCCAGGATGCTGGCAATGAACGTTTACGAAAAAAAACCCTCACTACATTTGATATGCTCGGAATGCCTGTTAAAAATAGAACAGAATGCGTTAAGCAGTTGAGGTTAGCTGTGGTTAAGGCCGCACCTGCAAAAGATTTTTTCACACATTTGGATCATTTTTGACAAATCTGGCAACGACAGCATGCAGGCAACATCCTAATTGGAACAGAGACAGCCAGAATAAAATGAAATAAGGTTTGTAGAAATATACTCCTTTCGGACTCTCTCATTCTTCTTGTATATTATTTTCGTAGTGATACTTTGGCACTTATTTTGCGTCGCATTTTCTGAAACTCTGCAGCACTTTTTGTCCTTTTTGTCCTTTTTGTCCTTTTTGTCCTTTTTGTCCTTTTTGTCCTTTTTGCGCTTTTTGCGCTCTGTACGCATCGCAAATTTCCTCTTTTTCGCCATTTTCACTTGCTTTCGGTTTTTTTGTCCTTTCTTTTTTCTTCCTTCTTTCCTCTTTCAGAGCTGACATTTCTCCTGGTTTCTCTGGTGAAGTTTCTGCAATTTTATCTCACCTCCAATTGGCCTTCCCTCCATTCTGTTTGTTTTTCTATTTCCCATAGAACATCAACTACGTTCGCTTGTGCTGTGGTTGATTCTTTCGTGGTTTTAGTACCCTTTACCTGGGCCCCTCTTCCATTCAGCTCTGTATTTTAATATTTGTTGATCTTAGCATCAACTGTTTTTTTTTCTGGTGCGATACTGTGGTTGCTTCCATCAAAAGAGTTGAAACTTTTTTTCTGTGTTGTTGATATTTCTCTTTTGAAGGTTTGTTGTTGTGCTAAGAATCTCTGTCGCAAGTGGGAAAAAAGTACTATCCAACATCAACATTTCCGCATTGCGTTCATTGTCACTGATCTAATTCATTCGCTTCATCACAATTAGTACCAAAAACTTGCGGACCATGGAAATCTTACCAGAGATGGAGTCGGTATCTTTGGACATCGACAAGACACGGAGATCGTCAAAGCGTTCAGTGTCCAGTAGTGCACTCAATAGCAACAAAGGCTTGGGGTTGACTGCACCTCGCAGACCTAGCGATGGGCTGATGAGATCCCACAGCAAAGTGTCCATTCAGAGACCAATCTCAAACGATTCGATCCCAAGCACGAACGAATCTATGGTGTTTAGCGACGCAGGAGCTGATATCGGTGACTCTAGAAACTCCTCGATGACAAGTGCCTCTGTGGACGACGTGTCGATGGGCCCACGTACGCCGAACATGAAGTTCAAACCACCGCTAAAGGTCTCAACATCAACGCCCATGTTTACACATTCATCCTCTTCTGTCTCCACGCTGACCCCTTCCCAGAGGTTTAGGCTCAGAAGGGTCAACTCTCAAAGCTCTGACAAGCTGAATCGTCAGAATAAGAGTGCCTCGAAGCTATACGATGAGTTGAATTCTGATGATGAAACGTTGGAAGACGGCGTGATATGGAACGTTCCATTCACCAGGACCACGTCGTCGATATTTAATCCAATGAATGGGAAATCACCATCGTTGATCAAGTCTGTTCTCAATGAGTCGCCGTCGACGTTACCGGTGAGTCCATTGCCAGGCTCGCCGTTGGCCAACAACACGTCGGCGAGCTTTTACATCCATGGAGGAGAGGCACATTCGCTATCACAGTTTTACGAATTTGCCAATGAAAGATATATGAAACGGGAAGTATTGAAGCGCAAAGAGAGTCAGACAAACCTACCTCAGGTCATCAATGAAGCCTCTGCAAAGGGATTGGATGACTGTAATTTGATCTCCATGGAGAAACTGAACATAGTAACAGATACGAGACCAATATGGCTACCTCCAAAGACACCAGATGAGATCCAGAAACACGATCACGATTACGAAAAGATGATTGAGAGCTTTGCGAAGAAGGAGAAGCTGTTGAAACAAGAGCAGCTCAAACTGAAAGAGGACCAAAAGAGATATAGACAACGGTGGGTTGATTTGTCCCAGACAGCACACCCAAGACACGCAGACCTGTCCAGGCTATGTGTCAAATGTGGTATACCGGACCACCTACGATATGAGCTCTGGGGAAAGATATTCCAAAGTAAGGATTTGGAAGATTTCAATAAGTTGAATGAAAAGTTGAGCGAAATCAATGACTTCCCAGAGTCTCAACTTGAAGAGCTTGAGAACTTGACGGTAAAACTTTATCCAAGTATACAAAAGTTCCAAAAGGGGTGCGAGCTTCATGATAAGTTGATCTATCTGTTGAAATTGTCATTGGTTTCTACAAGAGGCCTACAAAATGGCGACGAGGCCCTGTTTGCAATCATGTTAACGAAATTCAACGCTGTCGATTCGTACAAGCTCGTTCAACTGTTACATGCAACAGTATTTACGCCAGTAAACAATGAAAAGTTCTTGAAACATATGAACAAGTCGTCTGTTGTCAAGAAGTACCTACCGGCAGGGGAATACGAAGGTGATTTGAAATCATTGACATCCACTCTAACAACAATCCAACTATTCGAGAAATTGCCCTTGGCGATTGTCTTCCCTCTATTGGACATGTTAGTGATAAGGAACAATTATAAATCATTCTTAGCAATTTGGATTGTTGTTCTACGCAATCATCATATAGGATTTGACGATTTGAAACAACTATTTGACGGTGATAGAAACGTTATGATTTCTGAAAATGACTGGTTCAAATTTGGTCAGGATATTAACCACTACTATCAAAAGTTTTAATGAATTATTACATAATACTAATATAGTAACATACATATATTGATTAGTTTGGTTGTATATTTGACACTGTGTGGATGTTGGGAGCTAAACGTACTGTGAAGTCGATCTATGAACTCTCCCATTTCTTCCAATGCTCAAAGTGCCTACACGGTCTTTGACAACAGCATTCAGCTGTTGGTTATATCTTTCTAGGAACTCACAGTTGGACTTGGCACTCGAGAGCTCTTGTTCATATCGAGTTCTACCATCTTCTTGACTTCTTTGTCTCAATTTTGTAGCTGTATCTGATAGCTCTTTGAGCAATTCCTCGTTCTGTTTCTTTAAAGAGTTGGCCAGAAGGGACTTCTCGGCTGCAATTGCTGTGATCTTTTGATACTTGGCTCTCAAATTGTCTAATGACGAAGCTTGTTCTTCGCTAGTACGTTGCAGTTGTCCCAATTTCTCCTCCAAAGCTTCGATTTCCTTGTCCAATTCATCTTCAGAGACTTTTTCCTCTCCTGATTCAAGTTTTCTGAGGAACTCCAATTCCTTTGACAGAGAATCCAGTTTGGCAGTGTACTTTTCATGTTCAGACTTCAATCTTTGTTCTTTCAGTTCGTTTGCAGAAGCTTCCTCTTTCAGCTTTTGCGATTGTTTGAAATTCAGTCCAATGTTCTGCTTCTGTTGATCCCAAGTATTGTGATAAAGAGTTGATCTTATTCTCAGGGACTTTAACTTCTCCTCAATCTGTTTAGTTTGAAGAGAGATCTCATCAACTCTGTTCAACGTCAATCCTGTTAGGGCTCTTTGGTAGCCTCGGTGACTGTCCAAGTTATCTGTTGCAAGTTTCAACTTTTTAGTATCGGTTGTATACAAAGAATCCAAAACTTCACCTTTCCCAAAGACATGGAATTCAGGGAGCGTTTCCTGTGGCCAATCGATAAGACAAAAGTTTTCAAATGCAGCACCAAACAGGGACTCGTTGTATTTGGTAAAGTCCTTCTCACGTTCTGGCAGGGAGCTCAACACGGATACTTCTTTATCATGTCCATTCAACAACCCGTGCATCGGCGACTGGATAGAAACCAAGCCAATACAAGGGACATGAGTCCAATCGAGGTTCACCGTTTGATCTAGGCATAATACAAGGTCAACCTCTCTAACCAGCTGCTGCTTGGTAACAAGCAGCAGGCTGATTTTGTCATTTTTCAAACTTTCCTGTTCCCCATTGTGGTAGAGGGCCATACCAGAGTACCTCTTGTAATACAAGTCTCTCCCCAGTATGAATGCCTCCACGAGATCCAGTTCCTTAACACTGGACCCTATAATCAACACTCTCCTTTTAGTCATTCTCTTCTGCAGGATCGTAATCAACTTATCCAGGGTTCTGAACAAATCCGACGCACTGGACAGGCTCTCGTGGGTCTCCATCAGCAACAGTCTCTTTGGCATGTAGTGGTCCACGAGCAAGAACGGATGGTTCGATATCAGTCGTATACTATTGAGCAAGGAGTCTGGAACTTTGCCCTCCAGCAGCTGTGGCTTGTGCAAGGTGACGACTGTGTCAATCAGTGACCTCTGCACAGGGGTGAGTCCTATCGGGACGTATAGCATGATTGTCAACTGTTCGGGTTGTGTCTTGTGATTTGTCTGTTTGTTACTTAAACAAGCTGGACCCTGTTTGCTTCTGTGAATGCTTGATCTCGTTATTGACAAGTAACAACCTCAGGCAGAACGAATGGCTCTCTGATAACAACAGCAGCAACGACAAGGGGTACTTTAATACATATAAATCTCCAATTGAAAATTCTTGAAGATTGTAAGAACGCAAGTGGAATTTTAGGGTTGGCTGAGGGAAATTAGAGTTTTCATGTGTGTGTGGGTAGACTGGTTCTCTGGGCAACCACGACCAACCCAAAAAAAAGTAGAAACATAACATCTGGACACTTAATCACCTGGACACCTCGATATTTGGACACTTAATCACCCAGACACCCTTACACCCGGACATTATAGATAAGCAGCTCAGATGCTCGCTCAGCTCCGGTGTTTTAAAAGATCTCTGGAGATATTTCCCTTATGAGTTCACCCTTTAAACTGGCGAATCAGGGAATCTGCTTCAGCTCTGCACTAAATGTTTAACTGGAACCATTTCCCCGTGACGAGGAACCAACTGCTGAGGCTGACGAGTCCTATTGGATGCCTTTACAACGTCAACGAGCCAATAGACGAGCTTCAACGGACCTTGACCGATACTGTGCTGACTTGTAACCAGTGTCAAGGGTTCTATAACAAGCACTGTACACAGAGTGGAACACAGTGGAATTGTGTACTATGTGGTGGAGTCAATGAAGGAGTCGGCTCCGTCAATCAGTCTGATGATTATACCTACTGCTACAAAGATCACGAGGAGACAGCGACTCTAATTATCGATCTTAATACTCCACAGGATGAATTTGAAGTTCTGATTACAGAATTGGTTCAGGCTATACGTCTACACGATGACTTGGCAATTGCAGTGATAACTTTTGACAAGCACTGTTACCTCTGGGATCCTCAGCATTCGACGACTTTCACTTTCAGAGATGAGAAGTCTACTCTGAACAAGTCTTCGTCGGTGTTCTGTTCAAATGTGGCCAGAGTGGAGGAGTATCTGTTATCATTGAGTCCCGTGGTCAATGATTCATCGACAAAGAGGCCTTTGAGGGCAACAGGGCTGGCATTGTCCATTGCATCCACTGTTTCAAAGGAGTCCTTGTCCCTTTTATTTGTTAGTGGTCCATGTACCGTTGGGCCTGGTCAGGTAGTGTCCTTGAGTAAAAGGGAAACTATTAGAACCTTCAATGATATCACGAAGGGTCGAGCCAAGCTCATGGATAAAGCTCGTACATTCTATAAATCTCTGAAAGATTTGTACGTCTGTTCATTCATAAGTTCATTGGACCAGACTGGGCTGTTCGAAATGCAATCGTGCATGAATTCAGTTACGCTAGTGGACTCGTTCAATACCAATCTGTTCAAGCAGAGCCTTTCGCAGACTATTGAAAGTGGGTCAATTGCTCAGATGGAAGTTTTAACGTCGAAGGAGATAACCATCAGGGGATTCTTAGGCCCTGGGGCTATCAATAAAGCCCGTAAGAGTGGTAACTTGAACGATGAGCCCTTGGGTAAATCTGGCAGTAATTCGATCAAGTTTGTCCAATTGTCAAACACTTCAATGGGGATACTTTTCCACATGGATACAGTTGCTTATGCATCTGAAAGGTCCAAGATTGGTTCGTACGTCTACGTTCAAATCCGTACTTGGGTTAAAGGCAAGTTGAGAGTGACAACTCTAAAGAAGCCGACTCTAAACAATGAAGGCGTAAAGCTTGAGAATGGCTTCAACCAAGAGGCATGGATTGTACTTCTAATGAGGCTTTACTGCTGGCAAGAGCTGCAGATGAAAGACTTTGACTACAATCAACGTCTTGTTCAGTTGTTTCAGAAATTTGGAACGTTTATACCACAAGAGCCTGACACCTTCCAATTACCTCAAAACTTCAGACTGTTGCCACATATTTGGCAACATCTTCCATGTACTCCTATCGTCCAAATCGTGAACAAGACACCAGACGAATGGTGTTATTACGCATTAACGTTTTCACATGTTGATCTGCACGATTGCATGAAGATCCTTTATCCTTTATTGTTAGAATTTGATACGGACAAGGAACGAGAAGTTCCCCTCACAGCAAGCTCTATAAAGAGCAACGTCATTCTCCTGATGGATACCTATTTCCATGTGATTGTACATTGGGGGTCTCAAGTTTCTCAATGGAATGAAACCTCTCAGGACCACGAAGGTATCACCAAGATGATCGAATCGACTCGGAAATACGATATTGGTTCAAGACTACCGCTTCCACGGTATGTGCAGTGTGTTGAGGGTGATTCCCAGTCAAGATTCCTCAAAGCTCAGCTCGATGATGACTTCATCCCGTGGTGGGACAACATGTGCAATACCGTCTGCAATAAATAAAAAGCCATCTATCTCTTCCTTTCCACAATGACTTTACAATTCATAATCATGGTTCCATTAACCTCCAGCGCTTTCTGCATCGACGTAGAATCTCTAAATATAACCGTAGCATTACCCTTCCCCATCTTGATATCAACAAGCTCGCCAAATTTGGCAAACACCTGCTGTAATGCTGATCTGTCCACAAGGGAGTCCAGGTTTCTAACAAACAGTGAGTGTTCTTCGTGGTTAACCTTGTTCAGCTTCATGGTCTGGTCGAACAATTTCACGCCAGGTAACACTTTCAAACAGTAATCCACATCCTTTGCGCTGTTCAGCTCAACGAATCCATACCCCATGTGTTGTTGTAGCACACGATCCTTTGGCAAATGCACCGATTTAACAGGAGCCACTTGTGTGAACAGCTCTTGGATCAGAGAAGGTGTTACGCTCTGGTGAAGATTACCGATATATATCGTATTCATGGCTACTTTGGTTAATTCTCGGACTATCAGATGAAGCTGAAGTGAAACATAAAGTAAACAAAAAAGTACTGTGGTTAACTACCGCAGTGAAGAAAAAAAAAAAACTGAACGAGAAGTAGCGAAAGGAAAATTTTTAATTCTCATCTTCTTCTTCCTCTTTCAAACTTTTCTATAATTCATGGGACTTCCAGAAGTTTCGAGCGATGAAAGGTGGGATTGCGTTCTGCAATTCTTTATTCTTTAATCCTTGTTATGAGTTTCTGTATGGTACTGCTGAGTTGGCTTTTTTAACCATTCAGATGTAAAATTAATTTCAAGGTTATCTTTAATCATGAAATCCAAGTGGAGGTCCCTAGAGTTATATCCTTCTTTAATCGCTGTGATGGTTAGTTGTAATTGACTAATAATTTAGTACCATTGGCAGTTTCAAGTGAAAGGGACATTCTTTTAGTGTACTATCAGTATTTCAGCTGTGTAAGGGAACAATAGCACTTTCTGTAGTGAGCGATGCCCTCCAGCGGTGATTTTTCATGGTTGATTTTCCACGACAACTCTTTTGTGATTATTCGTGTAGGATCACTCCTTTTGACTACTGCTTTATGACTGCGTTCATATGATCACAGCTTTATGATCACTGCTTTATGACCACGTACACATGACCCCTCCTTCATGACCATCCACCCGTGACTAAACATACGTCTGGTCCCATGACTACCCTACACGACAACGGCAAGGCCCAACAACAATAACAATTTGCACAGCGATAAGCGAAAAAAAGGTTGGAAAACCGTTGCTCATCGACGCCGAAAATTTTTCACTTTTCGGGGTCCTCGAGAAAGCTGGAGAAAACAATTCGAGACAACTTTTTCTAGCATAAATCATTCAATTGTAGAGGAATAAGTCACAGATGCCACCTCCAGTCACTTACGAAGGCGCAAATTCGTACGTTGACCACGAGCTGTCCGTTAACTTGGACTCCACGGAGGCGTTCGAAGGACCAGAGAAGCTATTGGAGATTTGGTTCTATCCAGATGCCGGCTCCATCCCGGGCGCAAACAAGTCGTTGAGATCGATATCACACGACGATTGGTCGGCCATCTTGGATTTGGTCAATTGCAAGATCCTCTCCATCAAATCATCTGACCACTTGGACGCATTCTTGTTGTCTGAATCTTCGCTGTTTGTCTACGACCACAAGCTGATCTTGAAGACGTGTGGTACAACCACCACGCTGTTCTGTCTCGATGCACTGTTCCAATTGCTCTTGAAAGAACTCAGATGGGACTTCGTTAACAAGCAGCCTCTGAGAGTATTCTACTCGAGAAGGGCATTCATGTTCCCGGAGAGACAAAGATCGATCCACAAGAATTGGCAAGACGAGGTTGACTATTTGAACCAGTACTTCAAGGGCTCGAGCCATTACGTCATTGGCAGAATCGATAACTCTCATTGGCACCTATACGTTGCTACTAATGGTGAGGATCAAGGAAGCGACGACGATGAGACGTTTGAGGTGTTGATGACCGGGATTGATCACTCGAAGGCTGAGCAGTTCGTCACTAGTCGTAAACCAGGGTTCGAGATTGATCCCAAACACGACCTGGGACATTTCATGGGCTCTTCCACTTCAAACAACACTGGCCTGAACAGTTTGTATGGTGTCAAGCAGATCCATGATGCCTTCAGCTTCACACCATGTGGTTATTCCTCGAACTCGATCTTGAATGAGGACTCCTACTACACTCTTCATGTGACTCCGGAGAGAGACTGGTCCTACGCTTCGTTTGAATCAAACGTCAACCCGGCCCTCTACAACTTGACCAACGTCGATATCCTGTTGAAAGTGCTCCAGGTGTTCCAACCCCGTCATTTCCAGATGACTCTGTTCGCCAATGGTGACGGAGAAAGCCTGAACAAGCTGTTTGCCCTGGACCAGCTACCAAGATACAAGAAGCTCGACAAAGTGCTGTACGACTTGAAAGGCTATACACTGCTATACATCAGCTACGAGCTGGTGATAGACTCCGCAATGGAAGAGCTAAGAGTATGAATGACTTGAGTGAAAAATAAAATAAAGATCGGAGCTTCGAAAGAGACTCCATTCATTTTCTTTTTTTTTCAATGGTTATGTGTTGAAGATGTTTCTGTTTGGTTCAGTGGATCATTCTTGGGGAACATTTAGATACATTGTCACCTTTTTTTTATGTTTTGGCTATATTTAATACCATCACTCTTCTCTACACGCACTGTAATGACGATGCTCTTTGAAAACGACGTATATATATAGATAAATAAATAGACAGAGGTTTCAGCTACACCTCCCAAAGCTCGTCTCTCTTCTTCAAGACAGCCTCGTCATCCTCGTACTTGCCATCGAGCGAGTATGCCATCATGACTCCCTGGTGATATTTCTCCTTGTCCCTAACATACTGCAGCCCCAATTGGTGGAACAGCTTCAGCTGATTGCTCATACACGAGTCCCATTGCTGTTGTTTCTCGTGGCATCCCAGCATCCTCTCCTTCAACGGGCCGTGGGTCAAGCAGCTCATGAATTGCTCTTGATACTCGGCGCAGTTCACCTGCGAAGACTGGTGGAGTTGTTCCTTTGATGCTTTAAACCCGGTGTTTGTCACTTTATCATGATACGACTCATGCTCTCTCTTCTGCAACTTGTAGTAGTCTCTTGTCTGTGGTGAGAGCTTGGACAGGAGCTTATCCTCTGGATCTGTTTTGAAGAATAACCACGACATATGTCTCTGTCTTGGTCCCGGCGTCGGTATATGGACGAGGAATGAGGGAGTGGGAAAGTGAAATGGTTTGTCCAACAACTTCAACAACTTCACCGTCCTTGGGCTACGGGGAGACCACCACTATGTCGCTTATTGGCAAGACTGCACTTGTTACTGGTGCCTCTAGGGGCATTGGGCTGCAAGTAGCCAAAGCACTCAGTTCCAAGGGCTCGAAGGTTGTGCTGATGGCGAGGGATGAAGCTCTGCTTCAGCACAATGTTGAGAACGAGCTCAAGGGAGTGGGACATAACTATATTCCTTTCGACATAAGACAACTTCAAGAGATGAAGGCCATCTCCAAGCACCCGTATTTGAAAGACGTCAATGTGTTGGTCCATTGTGCCGGTATATCACAGCAATCACTTCTGACATCTACACCGTTGGAGACCGTCAATGACATCATCACGACGAACCTAACGGCTCCAATCGTACTGACACAGTGCCTGGTACGTCAATTGATCAAGAACAACCCCTCGTCGGTGGTGTTTCTGAGCTCTGTGCTGGGGAATAAGGGATTACGGGGCACCTCTGTGTATAGTGCTACGAAGAGTGGACTACAGGGCTTCACCAGGGCCATGAGCCATGAATTGGGCTCCAAAAACGTGAGGTTCAACAGTGTGTCTCCTGGTCTGGTCACCAGTACACAGATGGGCAAGGGCCTGCACTTTGACACTGTGCTGAACAGAGGAGGTGTGTGTATTGATGATGTTGTTCAAAGCGTACTGTTCTTGTGTGAGAACCAGGCGATCACAGGGCAGAATCTGATAGTGGATAATGGATACATATGTTGAGATCTTCACAGCAAGTGCACTTCTGTGTATATCACCGGGATTACATGGCATACACCGTTGATTGTGTATATAATTGGTACTAATAGCTCATCTTGATTTCCTAATCGGGTAATTGCCTATTTTGGATGTTTCAACTCAGTTTGATTATGTAATGCTTATATAATCGTCGGTGGCCATCTGCTTACATAATCACAACGTGTGAACAAAGTTTAAAAATTTTTTTTTTATTCTGCTTCTTCGACACTTTCAACCAACCACACAAGGACAACTTTCCACGTACTTGAATAACGAAAAATGCTGATTTACAAGGTGAGTTTTGGCTATTGTTCGATGCTTTCCCCCCAATTGGTTGAAGCTAACGTTGTGTGCTAGGATATCATCTCTGACGACGAGCTTTTGTCTGATGCCTACGACATCAAGTTGGTTGACGATGTCATCTACGAGGCCGACTGTCAAATGGTTACCGTTGGTGACGGTGACGTTGATATCGGTGCCAACCCATCTGCTGAAGGTGGTGACGAGGAATTGGACTCCACCAAGGAGACCGTCAACAACGTTGTCTACTCCTTCCGTTTGCAACAAACAGCCTTTGACAAGAAGTCCTTTTTGACTTACATCAAGGGTTACATGAAGACCATCAAGGCTAAGTTGCAAGAGTCCAACCCAGACCAAGTTGAGGTCTTTGAGAAGGGTGCTCAAAAGTACGTCAAGAAGGTTATTGGTTCCTTCAACGACTGGGAGTTCTACACCGGTGAGTCCATGGACCCAGATGGAATGTTGGTTTTGTTGAACTACCGTGAGGATGGTACTACCCCATTCGTCGCTATCTGGAAGCACGGTGTCACTGAGTACAAGATCTAAGTGAATGGAGTATGTTTAAATCTTTTATAGCTTGGTTACAACCATACACGTGTTTTCTAATGATACATCAGAGGTAACGTAATGGCACAATTTCACTGTAAACCCTGAAGATTGTAGAACGTATCTTCTAGATTCGTCGATGATTCTTCTTGCTCTTAGCCCCAATTGTTCTCGCTCTCCAATGGTTAACCCACTTGGATGATCTGCACCGTCATTAGATGCCATTTCAGGTCTGCGACCGTTGACTGCCCAGCTGGCAAACTTCATCAGATGTTTAAATCCAACTTGGTCAATTCCCCTTGAAAGAAGATACCCCTTGGACAAGGGATGAAGCTGTGAATAATTACAGCAGTGTCTGCAACACATTGCAATGATCATCCCTTGGAACTTGTCTCTCAACTGGTTGTTATTTAGTATACATTGAATGGTCAAATCAGTCGCAGCTCCACATAGGTGCTTCGACACTGCAACAAATCCTTTGGAATCCGGGAATTCGGTTGAGATGATCTGGTCAATGTATAGATCCTTGATGTCTATCTTAGCTCTAAAGATATTTGGTGCAGCTAATGAACGGTCTTCGCAGTCCTTGGCCATTTTAGAATCGAGCTTCATCCTGGTTGGTGATCTATCTATCAGTATGAACCCAGTAGGTTGACCATCCTTATGAATCACGCTTTGTAACAGATACCTGGACAGCTCCGCACGACCACATCCGAATTCTATATAGTCTATATCTTTGGATAAGAGTTTATTCTTATCCAATTGTGAAATAAGACTTGACTGCTGAATAGCATGCTTCTGGTTCTGCTTCTCGTTCATTCTTTCTTCCACGCCCTCATGTTCATCTTGCTCCAACTTCAGAGGCTCGTAGGCATCAACCACTCGGTTTACCAATTCGATCCAATATCTGTAGTTCTCTTTAAATTCTTCCACTTTTCCATCTGAGGCTTCACAACAGTTGTAATCCTTCTTGAACCAAGGATCTTCCAGTGCCTGTTCTTTCAGCTTGGTACATTTCTTCAAATGGCTTTTCAATTCAGAGGTCCAGACACTATGTCTTGGATCTATAGGGCATGGCACTCTCAGATCACTATCACCTCTTTGTTTCAGGTGCTCTGCACAGTACAGCGTATCTGACTTCCTGGTCAATGGGCATCTTCTATTCTTCTTCTTTATGATGAATTCACATTGTAGCCTTTCCTTGCTTTCACGACCTTCTAGTTTTCTTTTCTTCTGCTTAGCAGAGATACGAAGACCTTTTTCATCCATCTGGGCTTCTCAGAGGTTCTGTAACAGCGTCAATTGGTTGGAATTATGTCTTCATTGAAGGTCTCGGAGGAAATTTTAGCGGTGCAATGGTGTGTCACGTGATGATGTTATGTCGGATTTGACTAATGTGGGTATTCCGAGGGCTAGATGTAGATTTGTATGGGGATCCGTCTTTCATATACTTACTAATAGCACCAACTAATTACTTACAAAGGGTTTAAATAAGGCCTCCTCAGTGGTTTATCAAGTTAGAATAGTCCAATTGAACTGTTTGTAAGAAAAGTGTGGGTTCTAGAAATGCCGGTTAAATAAACTGACCTCAACTCTTCTAAGCACTGAGCCCAAGTTGGCACCGTCTGCCCCCATTAGAAACGAAACCACACAATTAGAGGCACACTCGTTTGATACCATGTGGGTTATAGATCTGTTTGGCGTAGGAAAGTATTCCAGCATCAAGGGAAAGTTGAGTAGAACATGGGGGAAACTGATGTTTCAGGTAGAAAAACTAAACAAAAGACGTTAACATGAATTATTTCTTGGTAAGCCCATTAGTGCTGATGCTGCCGTCATGTCTAGGTAATTAATATCAATAACGCAGGCTATAGTGATGCACTGTTTTCGTGAAGCGTTCTCAGGTATTTGTTCTTGAGCTTCTAGAACTCCCATCTGTGAGTTCTATTGTAACTTCTTGAGCAATCTATAAAGAATATCAACGATGGACTACAACCATTCATGTCATAATTTACAGCACCTGGATTGTTCTCCAGCTCAAAACTTTTACGATGTCATTTATCTTCATTCTGAAACTTAGTTAACAAAAGATATGATAAGCAATTTATTCAAAATTACAATAAACCTTTGGGGAGGCCCATTGGCGTATACATTCACAAGCATACGCTATATAACCAGTGGTTTCGATGTTGATTAGTTTTCACCTAGCCTAACCGTGAAAATCATCACCCCTTGTCTTATAGAAGTAAAGCACACTGCTATCCATCAAAATACAATGTGAAGTATACCAAAAGGGATAGGCTGCTCTCAAAATATATCTCTTCAATGCTGCATTGTGTACCCTTCACATTGAACCCACCTCATTGTCCCCAAATCCTAACGTTATGCTTCATATCGAAGTTCTCTTTCTTTTCAATGTCTTTCACCTCTGTGCAAGATCAGGACATACAGGTTCTTGATTCTCGTCTACTTGAGTAATATGGTCTAACGACTCCTGCGCTGACATTTCTTGACCACAGAGACAATGGCCTCTTTTCCGAAGTTTCTGTTCCAGCGATTTCAACTTCTTGACTTTAGGATCATCTAGGATGAAATGTATATGCAGTAAATGCTTCTTAAAATCGTATCTTCTATTAAAAAACCCTGTCTTGTGAGTGCAACACTCCTTGGGAAACACACATTGGAACCTGGAAGTACGATCATGGGTTCTTCTGTGTCTTAAAATATCCCTGCTAATCATACGTCCGCAGATGTCACAAGGAATTTTCTGTTGTTTCTTCCCAATTGGCTGCATTTGGCGTTCACTGGTGCTTGCTTGTGGTCTTGATTCGTAAGCATTAATGTATGAATAACTATCAGTCGTGTAATCCATTTGATCAATTTGACCCATGTATTGTTGTGAATCCGAGAAGTTTCGAAAGGCACTCACATCCCCAGGTTGTGAGTGACACTGTAGCTTTGAATATGGTTCATGTTTGTAGACATCTAGACCATTGCCTTTTCCTGAATAATGAACAGGTTGTATACCGGTTGATGACTTGGGTACTGTGTCATCATAATGTAAAAGCCAAGGATGTGATTGTGATTGTCTATTCCATGAATAGTCAGAAACTTCTAATGCTGTATTAGTGACACGATTGGCCTCAACAATCGGTGTTGCTTGACCTGAGAAGGTCAATGGTTCGTGAGTCTTTGGCTCCTCTGAAAGGTTATTACCGCTTGAGCAAGATGGTTCCTCTGTACAAGCTAGTCCCATTGAGCAAGATGGCTCTGGTGGGGTAAGCTCGGTTCGTATCAAAGGTGGTCTCAAACAGTTAATTACCTCATCAATGATAGCAAATGAGGGTAGTTTTGTGCAAGCACTTCGACCTAAATCAGGATCCTGGTTGATTCCCTGGTTGAACTTCAAATGCTGAAGGGATGCTGATAATCTTGTTGTAGTCTTGATAGCACTTCTTGTTGAACCAGTCATTTTATAAACTGAATTACTGTATGATTATCGGTGACAATGTAAAGAATATTCCTGGATAAAAACTTGAAGGACCGGGATTGTTAATCAGATGATAGTCTGGAAGAATAGAAAAGAAGAAACAGAGACAAAATTCTGAACTTATATTATTTCAGAAAGCAAAAAACTTAACAGAATTGATGTGTGTAAAAACTCTCTATGAGATATAGAGGTGTAATCGTATTGTTCAGTATTGTTATAGAACTTATTCAAATAAGACCCTAGTGTTTGCTTTTTTTGACTATGGTGTTGAACTCCGTGGACTAAAAATATGCGACTTCTTCCACAGGTGTAACGTCTGAGATGTATGTAGACCACATGCATATCCACGTTGTGTAGGTTCTGCATATGAGCTAAACCGCTTATTTAGCATATCGTGTATTGTTAATGGAAGTATTCATCGCCCAGACAAATCATCTTACAGAGCGTATATCTGATGCTCTCTTTTTATAATAGATCCAAAAGACCTCACTCTCCCTAATATTTACACCTATGAAACAGATGTGAGAGGCTCATTGGTAACTGGAGTTCATACTTAGTTGATCGTTTGAGCTGCTTGGATTCCGTTGAACTTACGAACCACTGTAATTTCGTTTCTGAGTATTACATGCTTCATATTAAGTTGTCATGCAGAAAAGTGTTACATCGTACGTGATCTTCACAGTGTTATTGAGGCTCAGCTATGATCCATGCTATATACAATATCTGACATGCATGTAGCAATGTACACGTTACATGCATTTTAAAGTTTGGCTAACGGTTTTATGTTATTCGCGTGCCGTGTATAGGAGGCTAATACTACATATTACACAGCTAAAGGAATCAAGTTAAAGTCCGTTTAGGATGAAATCTGTTGACTTCAATGTGGAAATTGATCTATTTTTTGAAAGAGGTAATTACGGACTCGCATACATCATTGCATCATTTGAGCCATGTTGATATTGAGAGCTTGATTTCTGAAAGGCTTCTGAAATGGAACATAAAAGCCTTACATATGGAACACAGAGGTTGGATATTCATCAGAACTTGCACCTCTCTTCTCTAAAATGTCCATGGATTGGATTTAGTGGTAAACAATGGTGCAATTCTTATGATGCTTAGAACTACGTTATAATCTGTGAAGGACTCCTAAGCTTGAGCCATATGTGTATACTTTTGAAACAGCTTGGTTCTGGCCGTTTGCAAAACGTCAAGGAGATATGTCATCACCCAGTTCGGTATCCCCAACCACAGCATATAGACGGATTACCGAAACTATTCCACTTCCTTTGTTACGGAAGCCCCGCATGGTTTTGTACATAACAGTGTAACTCATGTACAGAACGATGACTTCGTATAGTAAACTTCAATCTGCACTTCATTCTAGAACGTTCTTCTGCTGATAGGTTACTACTCAAAGCCCCGCTGTGTAAGTGTATCAAGTTCAAAACAGTCTTTATTGGAGTAGGAAAAAACCACTAACATTGGATAACATCTTTATATAGTAAAATCTTTCAATGATACGATCTGTCAGTGGTACGATTTTCCCTCGACTGATGCGTTAAAAACTTATAAGCTTTATTCCAGCAATAGAATACAATTCAGGTACTAGTTGGTTTTGAACGTGTAAATTCTCGAGTCGTTTCGAGGATGGAAACTTCGTGCGAATCATCAATTCCTGATATTGTGATATTCATGTCGGCTGGAGGTCACCAACAAACAATCATCCTGATATCCAACATGTGATAGTTCAAAAGCAAGGAGGTTGAAAATCTCTTGTGCTAAAAAAATTTGTGATACATAACATATACATATGCAATCCTCTGTACTGTGCGCATAGAGACTTCCGATTTTTGCATTGCGTGCCATCATGTCGCAGATGTTAATGACCATATGCAAACTAAGCTCAGCCTCTATCTTCGGTAATTTTGTTAACTTTCAATGACTGGATCTATACGCTCTCGGTTCAAGGCTTTCTAGAACGCGTAGTTTGACTAATATATTACTGAATTTATAACCCAATGTGTAATGTCAGAACGTAGGCATACGTGTCGTGATACATAGATTGACATATCTGAATTTGTCGATGGTCCGTTCAATCCATATTTGAAAAAGACAGCTACACCAGAGTAGGGAAGTTATTCTCAAGTTCATTGGATGAAAATGAGGTGGGCATTAAAGGCATACTCAGAATAGTTGCTTCGCACCCTTCATTTCAAAACTTACATGGGATTGCAAATCATCCGGATTGGACACCGATGATAGACAGTATCAGCCTTAGAAAAACTATCTTATAGATGCACGTTCTTTTCCGAACTCTTGTCTTTCTGACTACCAGACTTGATATTCATTGTTTTTGAATAAGTGCGTTTCTGTCGTTTTAACGTTGGGCTGCTGCTGAATTTATGCATTTTGTCATTTGCTCCCCAACCTCAAAATCTATCGTGGCTGGTGATTGAACCATTTCATCACGAATCCTTACAAGTGCCTATACAACAGATATGATGAAGATAGCTAGTCATCGGTTTCTCCCAGTGTTTTCTTATCCATCAAACTTGTCTTCGCTATTGCTATTTCACATGTGAAACTTGTATATATTGTATGGATGCTAAGGCTCTATGATATTGTTCTGAAAACAGCGTACTTCCAGTTGTGAGTGGTTTATCGGCATCCAGAAGAGAATCTTCAATGATGCAGCAGCCTCTAATGTCGGCCTCCTACACATTTTGTACACTAGATATCGTCCCACACGAAATATATCACATTAGGAAGGAAGTTAATTGGGACTATCATTGTAACCGTTTATATTATTTGAAGTGGGTTGACCCCTAGATTTGTCAAATTTTAGAACCACGCTATTAAACTAAAGTGTCTTATAGGTGTGCTTATACACAATGTGATAATATATTGTGTCCCATCTAGGAAAGCCTCTGGGGCCTTGAAGAGAAATTCCGACTAACTGATTCACTGATTCGAACCTCGTGCTTGAAGGGAGGGTCTTATGGACAATTTAATACTTTGTCGGTGTGGTTTTACACTGTCAAAGGCATGAGTATACTTCAGTGCAATCACTGCACTTTATTAGGGAATTCTCTAGACTAATAACCATTCCTTCAAGTTCGCCAAATTAGAGGGATATACAGACTATAGCAGATAATATCAGAGCTAAAGGTAGTATCAACAGCCACTTCTTTATGTGATGTCCTCATCATTGCTTACCTACAACACACAAATTTTGAATGACATAACTTATGCTATAAAAAAGCATTAATGGGCTCAATGAAGAAGAATAAATATCAGCACTTTCAATAGCGATGATAAGTGTATTCCTGGGTGCGTAATGATCACAATGTATTTGCCTTTCCAAAACTTTTGGGAAAAAATGGAACTGTATTATCTTTTATTTAGTATTTATAGTTAAAATATTATCACACAATTTTTATTACAAATAATATAATTTTAAACCAAATCCAGCAGGACAACTCTTTAATACAATTCATATTCAATCCACATTATAAAATCATCCTTGGGCTCAATGTGATCCAATGCAAACAAGTATTCGAGTGATTTCTCAGTTATAGAAAGGTGTGTTGTACCAAACGCTTACCCCGATCCATCAATTATGTGGTGTCTGGATTATTTAAAAGGTGTATCACTGTGCTAAAGCGAGCTATACGCAACCGACTAGATACAATTCCTTGAAGCTCTCTAACGATTCACACACTGAATACCAGTAGTGTTTGCTTGTTAAGCAAATCACAAATGAGCTCAAACGTCCGTGGCTCAGAATACGAGTGCATACAACTGTTATACCGAGATTGAAAACGTGGGCTACTCCCCAACAGATCTTTGTATCTGCATTATAATGTAAAGCCATCAGTAGCTCAGCCTTGAACACACAAATAGGGGGTCCTCTTCCGATCGGAAAACCTTGCTAACTGATCTACTATCCCCAATAATTATTACTGGTTTGGTGAAATTGAACATAGATTTCTGTTGGGATCACCGTTTCCAAGATTTAACGGGCATTGTTCTGCATATGTGCAGACAATCGAACCGTTTCGAGATCACAAGTCCTCAATTCACCGGGATTCAGTATGCAATATGCAACAACGTTCACACGTGCTTCCTCAAAGCACTATTTAGTTTTGATTAGTTATTGATCAGGACAGAGCTATCCAATCGTTTCTAGTGCTGCAGCATTGAGGCAAGCTGTAGATCACAAGATGTACAACACCTGAACGCCGCAAATACACACAGATTATAGAAGAGAAACGTGGTGTAGTCAATAACAGGAACTTCCACTCATCTCCAACTATAAAAGAAGGCACGTTGTAGAATTTTCAGCAATTGTCGAGTCCAAGTCTAGTGTAGGATAAGGAAACATGAAATTAGAAACAGCCATTGCAACAATTGCCCTTTCAACCACCGTGTCTGCAGTTTTGAACAAGCCATACTCTCAAGAATCTGTCGAGCAGTTCAACCTGTTGAGATATACCGGTACAACTGGTCCGTATGTTCAAAGTAGAGGTTATGGTATCCCAAGAGAAGCACCATTCCAGTGTAAGGTGAAACAGGCTCATTTGTTCATGAGACATGGTGAGAGATACCCAACAGAGGGTACAGGTAAGGGGAACAAGCAGATCTTTGAGAAACTGAAAAATGCCACTGTAGAGAGCTACGATGGTCCACTGTCTTTTGTCAAAGACTGGGAGTTTTACGTCCCAGATTCTTCTTTGTTGGAAACTGAGAGTTTCAAAGGTGCCTACGCTGGTTTGGCTGATTGTTACAACCTTGGTGTTGAGTTCAGAGAGCGTTACGAGGACTTATGGGATGGTAAGACCGTTCAGCCATTGTTCACCTCTGGCCAAGAGCGTGTGGTCAATAGTGCAAGATCCTTTGGTGAAGGTTTCTTTGCTTCAAACTATTCTGATCTGTGTTCTCTTCAAATCATCCCAGAGAATGAGACACAAGGTGCAAACACTTTGACCTCTCACGATGCTTGTGTCAATTACAACAGTTCTTACAGTGACGCTATCGTCGGTGAATTCTCTGACAACTACTTGAAGACCGCAGCAGCCAGACTCAACAAGTTGTCTCCAGGTTTCAACATCACAGGTGATGATGTCTACAATTTGATGGGCTACTGCGGATTTGAGCTTAACGTGAGAGGTCAATCTGAAGTCTGTGGTATCTTCACATTGGATGAGTGGATCTCCTTTGACTACTCAAAAACACTTGGATTCTATTATCAAAATGGTCCAGGTTATAACATCTCTGTTCCTTTAGGTTATGTTTTCGCTAACAACACTTATACCTTGATGAAGGATCAGACATCATACCCTTTCAATTTGTCATTTTCCTTCTCCCATGATAGCGATGTTGCAACGTTTGTTTCTGCATTGGGAATCATGGATCCTGAAGCTGATCTCTCAGTTGATGAGGTTGAGTTTGGTGCTATTTACAAGGCTAACGAAATTGCACCAATGGGTGGCCATTTGGTTCATGAAGTCTTGGAATGTGAAGATGTCTTGACAAATGCCACTGATTCATACGTGAGAATTCTTCTCAACGATAACGTTGTCCCGTTACCTGGTTGTCAAGACGGTCCAGGCTATTCATGTCAGCTTGATAACTACAAAGATGTCATTGATTCCAGACTGGGAAACACCAGTTATGTTGAAGCCTGTGGAGTTCCAAGTGATGTTCCACAGTACTCTACTTTCTACTGGGATTGGGAGGCCACTTTCAAAAACAACTTCTCTACGCAAGAATGATTTAATTCTAACCATAGAATTGTTTTAGCTGTGCTATAGAATTTAATAATATTGTGATACCTATTGATTCGATAAAATAACTCTAGAACACAATCTTTTTACCAGAGAACTTTACATTCTTCAAAGCTTCTTCTTGCTTTTTCTTAGCAATCCAAGATGGATGTAGTTCCTTCTCCTGCTTTGGTTCAACTTCAGAACCTGTGGTGGCATTCTTTCTTTCGCCAAGTGGTGTACTGTTAGAGCCAGTTATAGCAGCCTTTGCAGCTCTTTTGGCTACTCTTTCTTCGTATTCTCTTTGTTTCTGTTCTCTTTCTAATCTGACCTTTTCCTTCTCCTTTTGGATATGTTTTGCACCTCTACCATATTTCTGTTCCCAAATCTTTTGACGAGCACGCTGACCTCGTCTATTCTTCTTTGGTTGTGTTGCATTCTTCACAACCTCATCCTCGTCAATGTCTTCATCATCAGAGCCCGAGATATAACCATATTGTAGTTCAGGGAGCTTGATCTTTTCTTTCTTCTCCTTCTTGGTTGTCTTCTCCTTCTTCTCTTTCTTTTCCTTTACATGTTCTACAAAGAAGTCATCTTCTTCGTCCTCTTCCTCTTCGACATCACTTGGCTCTTCATCTGTAACCTCATTGTAGTTTATAGTGTTATCAAGCTCAACGTCAGAGTTGTCTTCATCAGAACCTGCAATCAAGTTATCAAATTCTGCATACTTTTCAAAATCATCATCTTCATTTGAATCAGCATGATCATCGTCTTGTAGTTTTGAAAGATTCTTGACCTTTCCGGAATCAACACTATCATTACTTTCATCATCATCATCGCTTTCACTGTCAGTGGTTTCGACATCTTCAATGTCTTTCTTATTGTGCTTTCCAGTTGGACCGAAAACAATCTTGAAACTATTTTCTATAATGTCAGCAATTGCCTGAACATCTTTCTTATTCATCAATTTTGAATACCAGTTTCTCTGTTCCGGGGTCAAAGAGTTATAAAAATGAGAAGGATTCTTAACGTTTGTCTTATCCTTAACTATATCGATGATCCAATCCGGTACAAAACCAGGAGCATATTCAATTCTCTTTGGATTCAGCTTAAAGATCGACTGTATCGATTTAACGATTCTGATTGTTGAGATCTGATCAATATCCAACGACTTGAGGAACTCAAGTTCATCTTTGTTGGTTTTCGTTGGCATAGCCTTTATAGATTTCTTGATGGCTCTGTTATACTTCACCAGGGAGCTGTGGATCTTTCTCTCCAAGATATCCAACTTCAAACCTTCAATCTCCTTTATAGCTTCATCTTTAGATTCCGGTAGTAAATGTGCCTTCTTCTTCCCCTTGGCCTTGAGCAGCGCCTTTGTTCTAGCAAAACGAACCTTTGTATTGAGGAAGTGATGCTCTAACAAGTCCAAACGCCACAACAGGTTCTTCTTCTCACCCATCTCTTAGGATTTCACAGTATACTTCTATCTAGTACCTTCCATTGAAGAAGCTCATCGCAAGGGGAGAAAAGTTTTGCACCTGGAGCTCATCGCATAAAGCTCGGTAGGGGAAGCATACACATCACGTGAAATTATAGCATTTATCACATGAAAAGATAATACTAATCACGTGAGAAAGTTATTACTATACTCTTCACTTAGTGATCTAGTCTTGTGTTCTTATAAATGGCAGTTGCTATCTACACAGTGAGCAATCAATATAGGGCACTATCAATCAACAAAGGCTGAGAATATAGAGCAAAGATCAATTTGTATTACTGACGAAAGTACGCATCTTTATAACATTCTAAGCGTATAATTTTGATATATCAATGTGCAATGCATGTTATCAAGATTAAAGAAAGGAAACGAAAAGCATTAAAGGACATGAAACCGAAACACAAACAGATTGGAAAGGGTATGAGGAAGATCATCACAAGGGGTCATTAGAATATATATCTTGTGTTTTTTCATTGGTTCAGTTCACAAGAATTGGAAAGTTGGTGCAACACCATTGGTTGGAACATGGCATAGTTCCAACTGTTGGAATCTTTCTGAGGACTTATGGTAGTACAACCCACTCACGTCACCTGTTATTTGGTTGAAGCAGATGTAATAGAACCCTGCAAACGAAGCACCTTCGAGATCGTCGGACTTTGCATCTGGAACGAGGAACTTTTCCTTCCATCTCATGAAGAGATATTGATTTTTAAAAGGTTCCTTATGGATATAGCTCTTATCGAGAATCTTCTTAACTGGTAGAGTCGTATGCCATGCAGGGAATTTTGACCAATGTTGGATGTCAATATCGGTGTTTGCGCCCCAGGACTTATCCCTGGTGAAGAAGGAAACGTCTTTTGATATGATTTCAGATTCGAAATAGGTAATCAACTCAGGACGTGATTCTGTCAAGCCTTTGATGTTGATGTACCCACAGAAGAACGACTGATCCAAATCAACGTATTTCAACTCAACCTTAACTTCATACGTAGAGCGGCCACTCTGCTGCGTTCCAACAAACGTCGCACCAGGTCTAAGAATATCAGTGGTGTGAGGGTTGATCTCGTCATGGATGAAGAAATCAGTTAGGTTGTTCGTGCTTTGAACCCTTGTAAGCGTCTGCTGGGGTGTTTGCGAGAAGTCTCCCGCATCGTTTGTTGACACCAGGGATAGCGACTGTAAGGACGTTGACGATAAGGACGACGATGACGATGATATCGCCAACAACTTGTTGTGTAGCTGTGCAACATCCACGTTCCCCTTCTTTCCCGCGTTGGAAGAGGACGTCACAACCTGTGTAGCTTCATCTATTGCGCACTCCTTATGAACGGGCATAATGTTGTGTTATCTATATTTGTCTTGCAGAGGGATTCAGGAGGGTGATGTCTGATGGTCAACAAGAGGTAAAGTTTCCCAATGTAGTGAACAACCAACAGCTCAGTGTGAGAACAAATCTGTGACTGCGAGGTTGGAAAGAACAGAAGAGCAAAGGAAAAAAGTAGCAGATGATCTGAGTATTAATTGGAGAGAAAGCAGGGAAAAGAAAAAAAAATCAGCAGCGATCCAAACGGTCCTTACACGTTAAATTCTATCTCTGTGGTTTAGTCATTTTAGAGTTTTCCCATACATTTGAGATGTTTCTTTTTTTGTGCCAAAAGACCCGAAAATTCGCAATTTCGCACTGTTCCGTGGGAAAAGACACAAAAATTGTTTGCAAACATCTATGAATCTTCGGAAAAACCGATGATGCGATAGGTGTTATGTCACCAGGTTTACGCAAACTTTTTTCTTTTTTTTTGGAGGTGAGCCTGGTGATGCTTTCCTTTTTGGGGGTGTTCTTTTTCGGCCGACTGCTTAGACGTCGTGGGTTCGAGCCTGAGCAGTTGCGTTTATTTTCGTTTACCGCATTTTACTTCAATTCATCGGTCGTATGAGTCCTTGGATACTCTTTATTCAACCACTAACGGCGCCCAATGGAAACGAATATCGAAGATATAATCACACATCCGACATGGACAGATGCTCAGGAGAGCGTGAGTGTGCCTGCTTTTTTCCAGCTATTGCGTCATTCAATACGCTCTTGCTTACTGACACCGTATCAGCTCATCACGGGCCCATACGACTATCTGGCGCAAACAAAGGGGAAACACCTACGTACCCAGCTGATTGAGCTATTCAACACGGTACTGTGTATCCCGAAGGCCAAACTTGACCAGATTTCAAAGATCATCGAAATGCTCCACACAGCATCGCTGTTGATCGATGACATTGAAGACGACTCCACGCTGAGACGTGGGAAACCAACGGCACATTTGATCTACGGCTCACCTTATGTGATCAATTCTTCGAATTACGTCTACTTCCTAGCTCTTCAGGATGTGTTGGCTCTGGATGATCCACATTGTGTGACGGCGTTCAACGAAGAACTGTTAAACTTACACAGGGGCCAGAGTATGGATCTCTACTGGAGGGAGAACCTAGTTGTTCCGAGTGAAGAAGAGTACATCAACATGGTTATGAATAGTGAGTCACAGCAAGTTAATTCTATACACACGGGCACTAACGCTTCACGCTAGAGACTGGTGGGTTATTCCGATTGGCGGTCAGGCTCATGGAGAGGTTTAGCAATAGCGATATCCCTTCACTAGTGCCTTTGGCAAACATCCTCGGAATCATATACCAAATCAAAGACGACTACCTGAATCTTAAGAATGAGACTCTCCAGGAAAACAAGGGATTCTGTGAAGATATATCTGAGGGGAAGTTCTCATTTCCAATGATCCATTCCCTCAGAACGTCGCCTCATGATCGCACACTAATGGGGATACTCAAACAAAAGACTCAAGACGTTGAGATAAAGAAATTCGCATTGCACTTCCTTGAAAGGACAAACAGCTTCCAATACACCCTGGACTCTCTGGCTAGTGTCAAGGGGAAGGCACAGGACTGTGTGAAATCCTTACAACTTGACTGTAACGATGAACACATGGTGAGAAACTTTGACTTGTTTAACGTTATGATTGAAAAACTGTCTAATGTCTAGTCAATTAATACATCTTCAAATTGAAATGGCTTAACAGCTGCGTTGTAGCGTTCGTTCTGATAAGCAGATTCCAAAGTGGTGCCAACAGGTTGTTGATGCGAATCCAGCACCTCCAAGCGATCAATGACCAATATACCGTAGCTGTGGCACTTGAATGGAACAAAGTGCCCAAACAGTGGCTGGAATTTCCTCAGTGGTAGCCATTTGAGCGTGATCTCCGATATGAGGACAACGGTGTTGGTTGTGTACTCTGTTATCCTACACCGCTGTTCACGCTCAAACTGTGATATACATCGGCTGGTTAAGATGGCAACCGCAGAGTTTACAGAATCTGCTATTGATACGAGTAAAGTACCATCGGGTTGCAATTTGAGAAACTGTTGCTGTTAGTACAATAATGTTCAAGGCCTCTGCACTAGTACTCACCTTCAACAGCTTCACCGCGTGCACGTCATCACATCCGAAGTTTCGAACGTCAAGCCCGGGGCCATAGCTTTGAATCAACTGGTCGACAAGCCATGAGTGAAGGACATCGTTTTCTATGACTTTACGTTGTCTTACACGCATTGTTTACTCTATTCAATTGCTCTATTGCTGTAGTGAGTGCGTTTGATTATAAGGGTAAGTACCAGGCGTGGGAGCAAATTTGTTTCAAACGTCAACACGCTTAAACTTGTGGAATCCCAACTCAACGGTGTATCCTAGCACGAGTCTCGTGAACTGTGCAATGTGATCGAAGCTTAGACGATCCAAGGTATCACTTGTAGAGTGGATGTAAGGGTTTGTATACTGGAAATCACTCTCAATGATAAAGCTCGAAGGATATCCATTCTTCAGGGCACTGGCATGGTCACTACATGCATAACCACATTTCGTTTCCCTCCATGGGATAGTCAGATACGAGTCAATCATCAATTTGACAAAGTCTGTCAATTCAGGGTTGACGTAGTCATCAATGACACCAACGTGTTCTTCAACACCGTTGTCTAATGTCTTCTGGACATAACCGGTCATATCCTGTTGTAACATTGCAACAACGTTTCGTCCCTTTTGCTTGTAGTCAGTGAAAACGTCCAAGGAGCCTAATAAACCACCTTCTTCAGCAGAGTAGAAGTGGAATTGCACTGTGGTTTCAGGCTGAAACCCACTGTTAACAAGGATTCTCAACGCCTCTAAATTGGTGGTGACTCCTGAGCCATCGTCATCGGCACCTGGTGCCTTCATAAGGGTCGGGAAAAGCAAGTTTGTAGAGTCTTGATGACAGCCCACGACTACGATGTCATCAGGGTATTTAGAGCCTTCAATAGTTACAATTATTGAAAACTGCTGCCATGAATGCTTGAAGCGTTCCACCTTGATTGGATGTGTTGAATTATCAACAATGGACTCCAATTTGCGGAACAGCCACTCTGCACTTTCCTTACCAGTGTCTGATTTGTAGTAACGGGAGAAGAAACTCGACAAGTGGGCCAAATTATCGTGCAAATTCGCCTTATCTATATGAGTAATCAACTGGTTAACCGTCTGGTTGTGTTCAACTGTTGTTGGATAGTTGTATTTAGGAACAACCACCGGTTTATCCTCGGAAAAGAACCAAGAACGATGCTCAGTGACATCGAAGAAGTGAACTCCCCGACGTTTCAAGCCCAGTTTCTCCCATTCAGACACAACGATTGGTGTTTCGTCACTCGACGTGACGATTAACCGTTCATCATTGAGTCCCAGAACACGTTGCAAGGGATCCCAAACGGAGAAGGCACTAGCAGTGGATTCAAGAACAACGAGGGAAGAGAGTAAAGTACTAAACGACACCATTAGCACAGCTGGTATAGTAATATTACGCTTCAGGAAGAGCAATTACTGTGGCGAAGTGTGGGAGTGAAGCCGATTGCTAATATCCCCCATATTTATACAGTGTGCTCCAGATCACGTGAAGTTCAGTGGTGTAACACGTGATCAATGATATGAAGCTTTTAGCTTGTATCATGGCAATACCAATTTTAGTATCAATGTCAATGACATAATGGCGACAGATGGCTACACAGAGCTACATATAGAGGGATTTTGAAGACACCTGGGTGCAACTTCATTGAGGAGTGTTCCTGTAGACACATCCATTATATAGAGGAGAGAATTGAATTGAGAATCAAGACAGATTTGAACAAGATGTCTGCTATTGAAATGGACCAATGTAATCACAAGAGAACCGAAACCGAAGAATCAGTTATTGAAAAGATTACCTTGGTGAGTAATTAGCAGAAAGTAGTTCTCGTTTGCACCAAAATAGGAACTTAGTATAGATCTCAGTCTTCAGGAGACAAGCTCCAAGACTGAACTAAGCACCAGAGTGTTGGCAAACTGTCAAAGATGTTTAAGGATGATCAAGTTGTCTCAATTCTGTGCTTCAATTCTTCTTCCCCTATATAGTGGTAATGTCAGTAGAAACCTCGTTCTCCAAAGTTGCGGTGCTCAAAAAAGAACTCTTCAAAATAAGCATGAAAAAACCCATTTAATCTCAAATATACAACATTAGTTTTCAAACCTGACCTACTTAGTTCTCTGGGATATCGATCTCACCAGCGTTAATGGCCTCGATGATGTCGTGTGGGTTCTTGAAGTTGACTCTACAACCAACGGATTGAGCAGTACCCAAGATCTCCTTGGTGACAGAAGCCAAGTTCTTACCGAAGGACTTCTCTCTCATTTGTCTGGCAATCTCAATGATCTCCTCGAGTTGCAAGTTACCGTTGTGCTTAACGTTCTTCTCTTTCTTTCTGTCTCTTGGAGCCTCCTTCAAAGCAGTGATAACCAAAGAGGAAGCAGATGGGACAACAGAAGCAACAGCTTGTCTGTTTTGGATTCTAAGTTGAACGGTAACCTTGATACCTTTGAACTTGGTGGTAGCCTTAGCAATATCTTCACCAACCTTCTTTGGAGAAAGACCCAATGGACCAATCTTTGGAGCAAGGGCAGCGGAAGCACCGACTTCACCACCGACAGCTCTCAAGTAGATGAACTTAACCTCATTTGGATCGAATTTTGGAGGCATCTTTGTATTATTTTGATCTAGATTGGTGGTTCTTCTTGCTTGTTGATGAAGTTACTCGTTGATGTGAGTTGGAATTTTTTCACCGTACCTGCTCGCGAGCGAAACTCCCCCAAACGTGGGACTGCGTTTTTGCCTAAATTATGCTGTTTTTTTTCTTTTTCCAACTTTTAGCGATTTCGCGAAGGAGACATTTGGAGCCCTAAGAAACAACACGTGATTATGCGCCCAACTATAGCCCTACTCATCTATGTAGCCTTTAGACATATTATTGAAACTCCGGATTTGGGCATTTATTCACTGTTCACCACCGGGAAATAACGATGGAATCCCTTGCTATCTATGACAACTCTCTGTGTTGCTGTGATTGGTTTCTGTAATTGCAAACCAATACCAATACACGATCTCTGTAGCTGTCTAAACCAGTGTAACCAATCTTGAGAACAGATGTGCATACTCACAGTGACATCCTTTGATTGGATTCCATCTGTTATGATCTTGATATTGGAAAGGATGGAGCTCTTTACGTGGTTGATATCCTGTGGCGTGTGTGGTTGCTTCAGAGAATTTTTCAAATGGAATTGATAGTGTGAGTAAGGTGGTAAACTTGGAACTCCAACAGAGGCGAACGGTTTCATACGTAGCTTATACAGAATCTCTTCATTTTGAACAAATGGGAAATCTGGAGTTTTCAAGATACCAGATTTGATGTATTTCTGCAATTGGATGGATTGCAATACTGCCAGTCCCTGGATGATTTTGTACTGAACAATTTTTTTGTTCAAAGTGTCGACGAACAGTTGTAACGAAGGGATCTGGGCTTGTCTCTTCATCATCTTCTCCTTGTACCTTAGCTTTTGATCACCTTTCTTCTTCTTGAGTTGGTTCTTCATCTGTTGGATCTTATAGATCTTTGAACGGTTATACTCGATAACCCTATCAAGGATCAAAAGGATGTTATCCACGAGGTAGTTAACGTACCAGTACATTTGGTGGAACTCCCAAGTTTGATACAGCTCCAGTTCAAATCCACGTAGTACAACGTGTAGCATTATATCCATTTTGACATAGCACACCCAAGACGTTATCGGTAATGCAAGAACCAATTCACCGTTATACTCAAATTCTTCATTCACTTGAAACACTTCCTTCAAGTTGCGTTCAAAGTTCTCAGAGTTGTATTCTAAGGTATCAAACACCGTGATAAGTCTCGAAAAGTGTTGTCTCTGACGACACGGGTTTTGATTCATTACGCTGAGCCATTCCAATGCAACTGAACTTATCTGATGTGTCAGTTCTGCCACTTTCTGCTTGACGATTTCATTTGACGTATTGATGTATTCAGAGTCCCAGCAGCTGAATCGTAACATCTCTTCATTGAGGAAGTCAGACACTTTCTCCACTCCAAACACGGTTGCATCATCTCTGACCAAAAACAAGGCATATATAGCTCTTGATATGACATGATGATGGGTGTTGGCGAAATTAAGGGCATGATTAACAACGTCTTGTGAGGTCAACCTGTTCGAGATTGCCCATATTCTTTGTAAATCATCCACGAGCACTTTCAGAGACGAGTAATCTTCTGATTTTAATGGGATCAAATCTCTGGAAGGCAGTCTGTTATCCAGTCTCTTTTGGATCCCCATGGAGAAGCATCCGGGGATTTGAGGTAAAGAGTTGAGATAATCCACATGCGTGACCAGAGAATCGACCAATGCTGCCAACGAGCTCACCATTGCGGGTGACTGTGGTGGAGTTGAGCAATCTGTCAGTTTGGGAACTTTCAACGCGATGAATTGAGGCAAGTTGATGAGCTGGACCAGCGTTTTAAGAATCAATTGGAGTATTTCAGAATCCTTTGAGTCAGCGTATTTACTCTTTAGAAAGTCCACTGAGTCGTTCAACTCCTTCAGTATATCGTTGGATTCAACCATGGTTATGACGTTGAGGTTCATCGTCTGGGTGTTTATGTCCTCTTCCTCATACACAACACCACTCTGTCCCAGAGTCAAACACAGCCTAACGAGGTGCAATGCACCCAGCACAACAGATCTCAACACCTTGTGGACCAGCAAAAGCTCAGGGTCCATGGACACGTTCTCAACAGCGCCAAACCGACAGCTCGAGATGCCCTTGTTCGCATCCTTGTTGTAGATCACCAACAGTTCTTCAACATAACGGCAGCTGAAGACAGTCACTGACAGACTCGAGTTCTGGAGCCATATAAACACATTCCTGAAGATGGCATCGCTCGTGGCCAGCACCTCTTGCAGCGACCTCTTACACAACACGTCGAACTCCTCCTCCTCCACACTCAGCTCAATGATCCCAGAGTCCAACCTCTTGTTGTTGATCTCCAACGCCTGTGTTCCTTGGAACAGCGAGAACTGTGGGCTCTTCACAACAGCGTCGTTGGCAACTTCACGGGCCTTGCGACGCAGCACATCGGTGATGTCCACCATTTGTTCGCTCATCGGGCCCAACTGGTTCGCTGCTGATGTTGTTGATGCTGCTGCTGATGCTGGCCCCTCTCCCCAGTGAACAGAAAGCGTTTTCCGTGGAAGGGCCCTCCGAGATTTTCCCGCAAGCTCCACCAGAGGCCACCCACAAAATTTGGGCAGGGGAGATGACGATGTCCGATTCTGGGCTGGCTTTACTATAAAAGGCGGCGGCCAGTGAACAGGAGCTGTGCTGAGGTTGTTTCAATTGCGGAGGAGGAAGCTGGCAATGTTCAAGAGGCTGTTCCATACGTTGAGGCCGCTGCGCCAAAGGGTTCTATCGCCGCTGGAGGAGTACAATAGGCTTGTTTCTCTGCGGAAGCTGAGGGACGACCCATACCAGAGAAACATCATTGGCTCCTTGGGGGACTTACACGCTGGGCTGAGCAATTATGAGCCACCACGGGTGCCAGATCTGAAGCCACAAGGCGGAGGGTTCTTCTCGAGGCTTTTCGGTGGTGGGAATGGTGCCAGTGACAAGCACTGGGCTCCCGAGGACTATGATGAGGTTCCCAAGGGCATCTATCTGTACGGCGATGTTGGGTGTGGTAAGACCATGCTGATGGATCTGTTCTACTCGACTATACCTCCACACCTGACTAAGAAGAGATTGCACTTCCATCAGTTCATGCAAGGCCTGCACAAACGTCGTCATGAACTGATTCTCCAACACGGCTCGCCAGATATGGACACGATTCCCCAGCTATCGTGGGAAATTGCCCAGAGTGCCAATGTGCTATGCTTTGATGAATTCCAGGTGACCGATGTTGCTGATGCGATGCTTCTTCGTAGAGTGGTGGAAACGATATTGGCTCCGGACCACGGTGTTGTACTGTTTGCTACCTCGAACAGAGCCCCGGAAGAGCTATACATCAATGGAATCCAGAGACAATCCTTCATCCCGTGTATCAAGCTCATTGAGCGTCGCACGGAGGTGATCTTCTTGGATTCGCCAACGGATTACAGAAAAGTCCCTAAACCAATATCCTCTGTATACTGGAGTCCACCACAAGGACAGCTGTTCACATCGCCTGAGTCCAAGAAGCAGGAGCAAGAACACATTGAATCCTGGTACAACTTCTTCTCACAGGGGCACCAGGCAGAATCTGATATCGAACTCACCATTTGGGGTCGTAAACTGAGAGTTCCAAAGTGCTCTCCTCCAAATGTCGCACAGTTCACATTCCATGAGCTGTGTGGCTCGCCATTGGCAGCTGGGGACTATCTTGCATTGGCACAGAGCTTCAATGCCTTTGTTGTCACTGACATCCCGTACTTATCTATAGAGAGACGTGATCTGATTAGAAGATTCATCACCTTTTTGGACGCTGTATACGACAACCATGGAAGGCTGTGTGTCACGAGCGCCGCACCTTTCGAAGACCTATTCGTCGAGCCAGAGGAGATGGCCAATGACTTCCAATTGAAAGACCTCCAGAGGGAGAAGGACATCGTCAACGTGGAAGAGGACGACCTGGTTAAAACCCACGGCTTTAGTGCCAAAATTGCACAGAATGCTCAAATGTTCCAGTTGGATGAGGAGAGATTCGCCTTTGCAAGAGCCCTGTCTCGGTTATCACAGATGAGCACGCAAGACTGGGTCGATAAAGACATTAGAAAGTGACAGAAACAACAAAGCTATTTATATTTATATATACCCATATATTTTGTAATATTGTATATGCCATGCTCATCGTCAAGGCACCATACTGCGGTTTATGGGTCTCGGACTTTAGGCCCAGTGAGGCTAAGATACGCGATGCATACCACAACCACGCTAACGTGTTCAGTACTAATATAAAAGACGGCATTCACGCTCCTCAAAGCTGTGATCTCGTAGTATGGATCATCTACATCGAGATGAGTGCAAAATACTTGCCAAAGAACAACCCGACGGTATCCTTTTGGTTAAATCACGATGATCCCTTCTTGAAGCATAGATCTGGCCCGCAGATACCGGATGAGGTGGATGTGGTGATTATAGGCTCTGGGTACTCAGGAACCTCAACTGCGTACCATCTACAAGAGCAGAATGGCCAGTTGAAGATTGCCATGTTTGAAGCCCGTGATATCTGCTCTGGTGCCACAGGCCGTAATGGAGGTCACATCAAGCCATATGGCCATCGGATGTACGAGTATTACGCACAAGCTGTTGGAGAGGAGCAGGCAGCAGAGATCGTTAACTCTGAGTTTGAGCATCTGTGGACGTTGAAGAAGATCATCGAGGATAACAGCATAGACTGCGACTTCTTCCTAACCAGAGCCTGTGATGTCTATCCTAATAGTGAGGATCCCAGAGTGAAGAAGGACTTGGCCGGGTTCTACGCAATGTTGAGGAACCCCCTGGTGAAGGATGAGTTCAAGAGGGAAATTCAACTGCTCACTGGTGATGCTGCTAAGCGAGCTTCAAAGAATGAGAGAACGGAAATGGCATTCACGTACCCTGCGGCCTCTTGCTGGCCATGGAAGTTGATGACTGGGATCTTAAAGAAATGCGTTGATAGAGGTCTGAGCTTACATGCCAATACACCAGTGGTTAGTGTGCAACAGTATCAAGGTAAGAGATGGATCGTGAAGACCACAAGAGGTAGTACTATCTGCTCTAAAGTTGTTTACTGTACCAATGGCTACACCAAGGCTTTGCTGAAAGAGTTCAGCGATACAATATTACCCGTCAGAGGAGTCGTTTCAAGTTTGACACCATCAACTGGGCAAGTTGTACCACACCTTACAAATACCTATGGTTTCATGACTGATAAACCACAGAACTATTACCTCATCAATAGATTGGATGGCACCGTTATAGTTGGCGGGCATGGTGAATCTCTCTTCACGGAGACGTCAGATCCTTTTGAACAAGTGTTGGATTGTGTCGATGATAGCTTTGTCAATGCAAAGTCATTCTCTGTCTTCAACAAGAACTTCATGAAGGACAAGTTCGTCACTTGGAAGAATACACAGATTGGCGACGTTAAGCTCTGGACAGGCATAATGGGATTCACTAATGACTATTTACCTTATGTCGGTGGACTGGAGTGTTTAGGCTATACGAACGCATACATAGTTGCTGGGTTCCACGGACACGGTATGCCTAGAGTCTGGCTTTCAGGTAAGGCCATTGCATCTTGTATCGTGCAAGATAAGCCAATTGAGGAGATTGAGTATACGTGTCCTAGAGCATTCTTCTTGACGCACCAAAGAGTACAGCATGAGAACTTATACAGGCAGCATTTATACGCAAAGTATAACTTCAAGCCCAAGCTCTAGATATATATATCAATAGCATCTGGATTCTCCACGCTCTGTTGGGCTTGTTCATCCTCCGGCTTATTCTCGTTGACTCTACCATCGTTGATGAATCCCTTGGTTTCCCGACTCAATCCAAATTCATCAGTGGCACGTCTTTTCCATTGTAGCATCTCTTTAAACGTCTGTTTATCACCGTTTGTAATCTCAAGATCGTTCCAATACTCCCAGAGATCCTTAGACTTATCCACAGATTGCAACATGGCACCATGTTGCAATATATGACGAGCTCTGGCCAGCTCATGAAGTGATGTTTCAAATTTGGCAAATTCTATAACGACCTCAATGCACTTTGAAGGTGGTAAAGATTCCACAGCCTTCGTAAACCATTCACGGGTTGTAGGGACACCAAATTTATCCCTACATAGTTGAATTGCCAACTTGAACAACGCGAGCTTATCATCCCAGCCCTTGACATTTTCCAGGGAGTTGTTAATGATCTTCAAGCTTCTCTGTATTGAACCGTTCTCCTCCTCGTACTTTGAATATAGCACATACAAGTCCTTTGCCTCAGGGCATGCATCTAACGACTGGTCGAATAAATCTCTCATTCTTTCAAGGCTCAACTGTCTCTGTATAGCCTTTGTGAGATAAATGTTCCAGATTTCGAAAACAACTGGATATTTAAACAGTGTAACACCTTTAGCATAAACACTTAGTGCTCTTTCGAAGAACTTATTCTCTTCGAGGAAATTTGCATAGTTTATCACATGTAATGGGGTGGCCATCTTGTTAGTGAACAGTTGCTCATAGATGGCACACGTTGCTTCAACGTCGCTTGTAGATTCTACCAAATCCAGATAAAAGCCCCAGAGTTGTGGAATCTTGGGGTTCAACCTCGTTGCAACCTCCATGACCTTTATAGCCATTGGTAAATCATCCTGAGATAATTCTAATTCTGACCAGTGGATCCAAACCTCACTTAATTCATCAGGGGAGTTGAATTTGACCTTCACAGCCTTGTCCAAGATCGTCTTTGCTGTTTCTAAATCATTGTTCTCCTCGTAAATCGTTGCATAACTTATCCAGATCTTTGATAATCCACTTGTTGCTCTCTGTGGGTCTATCTTTGTCAGTGCATCGACATAGATTTGAATCTTGGATCTCAGGTCAGTGGTCAACGAGGCCTTGTGGAGCCAATTATCAACGTTGTTCACGTCTTGACGTATCTTAACATCATCCAACAGATTCTCCCGGGAGTCCATCAGCTTCTCAAAGCATGCGATTCTATAGTCCAACTCTTGAGGATCTGAGTCGTCAGAGGCGACGAGTTTGGATAACCTCTTATCTTGAAACTGAGCAAAAGAGTCATAGATCATTGTGAAATCTTTTATAGTCGATACCTGTTTCAGAGCATCCTCGAAGATGATCGAAGCTCTGGTATAGTCTCTCAGTTTGATGTAATACATTGCCCACTGTACAAATAGTTTCCCCTGTTGGTCTGGGAACTTGACCAGCGCAAATGATACAATCTGATCGACTTTTGCCTGTGTTGATGTCTCTGTCAGCAGTGAAAAGTACTCCAGCCATAAGTCCAATGGCGATTTACCCAGGTTTGAGACATACGAATCGTCGTTGATCAACGTTTCAAACAGTGGTGCTGCCAGAGACAACTGTTTAAATGCTTGTAGCTTCTCCACAACCAGCTCCAACTGTGAAGGATCATAGGTATAGTACCGGTGGTATATCAGCCCACCTGTCAATCCACCAACCTCGTCGGCAAACCTCAGAAACACGGGCCAGATCAGGTGGTGCTGTGTCAACGGCAAAGTCCTCAAGGCCCTGTTGAACAGTCTCCTTATCCACGTAACCTCTGCCATCGACATGGCAAACTCCAAGTACCTCACCCAGATCAACGGCAGCTTGTTCAGCAGTCTCAAACAGAGCTCAAACTCCTTGCAAACCTTGCCATACTCCTCAGAGTACTGCACTGGACACAGTGGGCCGACAACCTCAACAAGATGGTCCAAGTACAGGCACCACAGCTTATAGCTCCTCGGTAATGCCCGGACACTTCGTCTCAACACACAAACCTTCCCTTCCGCTGATTGCTTATACCAATAGTACCGCAACCAGTTATCCAGCGAGTTCTCTTCGATCAGCTGTAGCTCATATCGCTCATCTTTGTTCTCGTCAGCCATCTTTAGCTACAGAGATAAACAAAGAGAAGAGGTGAAGAAACGTTCAATACCTCATCGCTTCATAGTCAAATTGTCGAGGGCACCGCCTTGTGAAGGAGAATACCAAACGAGTTCGCGGGCTCGTGTAGGCGGGCTGAAAAAGCAGCCAAAACTTCAACATTGTCAACAGGAGAGACCCCCCTGCTAATCAACAGGAGCACGAGTGTTTAGAGCAGGGAAGGGAAGAGAGCGATGTCTGCCAACAGGTGAGTTGTGTGGTTGATTGGCGTGCTGTTTGTTGCGGGAAAGCGGGTACTAACAGGGTGTTTCCAAGAGAAGCTGTGTTTCCTACTCGTATGACCCTTGGTGTCATGAAGGGTAAGCTCAAGGGGGCTCAACAGGGCCATTCTTTGCTTAAGAGGAAGTCCGAGGCGTTGACGAAGAGATTCAGGGATATCACCAAGAGAATTGACGAGGCTAAGCGCAAAATGGGCCGTGTTATGCAGACCGCAGCGTTCTCGCTTGCTGAAGTTCAGTATGCCACGGGTGATAACATTGGGTACCAGGTGCAAGAGTCTGTCAAGAATGCTAGATTCCAAGTCAGGGCAAGACAGGAGAACGTTAGCGGAGTCTACTTGCCACAGTTTGAGAAGTACATCGACGACAACATCAACGATTTCCAGCTCACTGGTCTCGGTAGGGGTGGTCAGCAGATCCAGAGGGCCAAGCAGGTGTATTCCAAGGCTGTTGAGACACTTGTGGAATTGGCATCGTTACAAACAGCCTTTATCATATTGGATGAGGTCATCAAAGTCACCAATAGAAGAGTCAATGCCATTGAACATGTGATCATTCCAAGAACGGAGAACACTATCGCCTACATCATGAGTGAGTTGGACGAGCTGGAGAGAGAGGAGTTTTACCGTTTGAAGAAGGTTCAAGAGAAGAAGGAGCAGGCTACAAAGAGACAGGATGAGGAGATGAAGCTCAAGAAGCTGCAAGAAGCTGCTGCGCTCGAAGCCAACGAGCAAGTGGAGCAACAGGACGAGGTGGATCAGAAGGAGGAGAAGGAAGAAGAAGATAAGGATATACCACCAGAGGTGAAGAATGAAGTCCAAGAGGTGGAAGCACTAGCAGCACAAGCTGAAGGAAGGGATTTGACTGCAGAGCAGGAAGATGATGTTATCTTCTAGCCTGCTTTAGACTACGAGTGCTCGCCAATTTGTCAATTGATGTGATTTTGATTTAATTATACTTGTAGTACACGCCCACGACTGGATTATTTCTTCAGTAATAATATAACATAACATAACATAATATAATACCATTCTCGGAATTTTTCACATGGGAAATCGGGAACACTCGGCCGTTCCAAATTTTATAGGCAGACCCGAGCAGCCATCGATTTCCAATGATTTTGAAAAAATTCCTCTCTTTTTAAGCTGATATCGCTTTTAATACTCGGTTGCTATTGCATTCCAACCAATTGATATCGATGTCGTTAAGAAAGAGAAACGTCAACAAGCTGGAAGAAGAAGTGAGCACCATTGCCGATACTCTGGTACATCCAGAGAACCATGTTCAATTGGACGAGAAGAACAAGAAGAAGCAAGACTTTGTAGTTCGTGCCTTTTGGACCATCGTCATGTTTTTGTTCTTTGTCGGTGTCATCTGTGCTGGTCATATGTGGACAGTGACTTTGATCTTTATATGCCAGGTGCTGGTCTTCAAGGAATGTATCGCTGTTACTTCCAAGCCCTCGAAGGAGAAGAATTTGAGACTGACGAAATCGTTGAACTGGTATTTCCTGTTCACCACAATCTACTACTTGGATGGTGAATCCTTCATCAAGAACCTAAACCACCTCATCTTTACAAACCAATTCTTAACACCATTGGCAACACATCACAGATTTATAAGTTATTGGCTGTATATCTTTGGTCTAGTGTTCTTCGTTGCAACTCTGCAAAAGGGCCATCTAAGGTTTCAATTTGCACAGCTCTGCATCACCCATATGGTTTTGTTGTTGACTGTTTTCCAAGCACACTTGATCATCAATAACATCTTCAACGGTATGATCTGGTTCTTGATGCCAGTGTTGATGGTTATCACAAACGATATCTTTGCATATCTTTGTGGGATAACGTTTGGCAAGACCCAACTCATTGCTATTTCTCCAAAGAAAACCGTTGAAGGCTTTGTCGGTGCTTGGATCTTCACATCATTGGCTGGTTTGTTATTGGCAAAGGTACTGTCAGCCTATGACTATATGATTTGTCCCGTGACAGATCTGGAAGTCAATGTGTTTTCTCATCTAACTTGTGAAAAGAATCCAATCTTTTTACCACAGGATTACAGAATCCCACCTGTTATTGCAGAATTCATTGGGGCTGAAGTGTTAACCATGAAACCAATTTATTTCCACTCCTTGAACCTGGCCTCGTTTGCATCGTTAATTGCACCATTTGGTGGCTTCTTCGCCTCTGGTTTGAAGAGAACCTTTGAAGTTAAAGATTTCGGTCACTCTATCCCTGGCCATGGAGGTATAACAGACAGAATCGATTGTCAATTCCTCATGGGATCATTTGCATATTTGTACTACGAAACGTTCTTGTCAACGAATAGATTCCAAGTTGGGTCTTTGTTGCAGCAGATTGTAACAAATTTGGAGCCAAAGGATATAGTGCTATTGGTGAACAAGTTGGCATTGTACTTGTACAATATCGGATATATCGATGAAGAGAAGTATATTAAATTGGTTGAACTATTCTGAAATGGGATTCTTATCTCTACTGATCCATTAATTATTACCATTCTAGGAACCAGACATATGTAGAATCCATCTCAGTAGCAACCATTGATGTTACACATTCGTATAATGCTGGTGGCAGAGTACAACTACCCTCATTAATTGATCTGTCTGCTGTTCAATTAGTCAGTTCACCCAACCGGGGAGTGTTTAGGGCCAACAATACCATCATTGACCCCTAAACCAATGAAGTGACTAACCAATCGATGAATACATATGAAAGAATTGAGGCAACGAGCCATAAAGCATAAAGGGTTACCCTACCTGGACAAAAATCCGGAAAATCTGTGGTGTCTGGGTGCTTATGTAATCCAAAACATCCGGACATGTTCAAGTGCTTTTGTGCGTTCCCCCAGAAAGAAGTAAACAAACAAACAAACAAACAAGCAGACGGCTTGCTACTACTCGTCCGCTACCAAGGAGTATCGTTGATATGTCTGATTCTATTGGTAAGTGCTCCTATGAATGGCTTGATGTACAAATCAACTGACTGATATGCAGATCGCGTGTTTGTGAAGGCAATCTCAACAATCCGTGCGTTATCGACGAGAACAGGAGCTGGATCTCTACCTCGTCCTCCAGTGGAGGCTAGAATAATGCTATATGGGTTGTATAAGCAGGCAACTGGTGAGTATTCTTTAGGGATGTGAGCTTTGGAGGGTATGGGATCTAACAACGAGGGGTATCTCCCCACGAAAATATAACAGAAGGCAATGTTGAGGGTGTAATGGACCGGCCTCTGGGGTCAAGACCTGAAGATGAGAACGCTAAGCGCAAATGGTGAGTTTGCCCAGTTGTGAATATTACTGAACCATCAACTAACATCATTCACACACAGGGACGCGTGGAAGTCTGAGGAAGGCTTATCCAAAACTGAGGCTAAACGTCGATACATTTCTTATCTCATTGAAACCATGAAGACATATGCTACTGGCTCCAATGATGCCAGGGAGTTACTTTCAGAGTTGGAATACTTATGGGACCAAATAAAGGACATTGATCCTACCCCTACGCCTCCAATGACACCAAGAGTGGCGAGCCATTACAATACAAGTCAGTATAACGGATCCATGTATGGTTCGACTGCGTACATCAGTGGCGGAGGCGGGTACGACGACTTACAATCAGAGCTGAGAGACGTTGCCATAATGAAGAGAGAAGTTGCGATGGCACTACGGAAGGTGAGTCTAGAGTTGGAAAAGGTCAAAAAGGGCAAAGAGAGCAAAGAATGGGAAGGGTTCAAGAGAATGGTTAGATTCTTGTGCAATATCATTGGAGGTGTTCTCAAAAGACTCTTAGTGGACTTGATGGTTGTCTTGATGATCTTGAAATTCATCAAGTTCAAACAAGGGCTGGATCTGAACCTAAACAGCGATGGTGAAGTGGTGCATGGCTTGGTCAACAAGAGTCTACTGTGGATCTTTAAGCTATTAGACAAATGTAATTTGATCGGGTGGAAGAAGATACACATCGACGTTCTGTGAAACACTCCATAATCTAACGTTATACATTCTCAATTCATTGGAATACAATATATATAAATGCCATCATAATAGTAATAACAGCATCCATGTAGTGGTGATGTTTTTACATAATACATTACGTAATCATGGTGTCTGGGTGTTATCAAAAGGGGATCTCTGTGCCCTTCGAAGACTTCAAACCTCATCTCACGATTCGGTTACTTCTCTCTTGTTTAATCCTTGTCTATACACACAGATCAGGGTATCGTTATCTGTGGTGGTAATTGGTGCAGTTGCTGAGCAAAGATGACTGAGCATGTTCAGCATAGCGTGACAAGTCGAACGAGGCTGATGCAGACGATAGGTGAAGAGATGAAGCGATCTCTCTCCACGGAAGGTGAAAGAGGTGCGATGAAGTTGATTGGTTTGAATATCCAATCGATCCCACCTGAGGCTCTGGAGCTGATGAGGGATTCTGTTGAGAGACTGTCGTTGCAAAACAACTCTTTGACGTTGCTTCCACAGTACTTTTCAAGGCTTGAAAAGCTGAGATACTTGGATATTCATGAGAATGACTTCACGGTGTTCCCAGATGTTTTGGCGAAGATGCCTGATCTGGAGATCTTGGACATAAGTTGCAACAGGTTGAACAGCTTACCCAGTGACATTGGTAATCTGTCCAAGCTGAAGGTTTTGTCTTTGAAGAACAATCAGTTTGAGACCATACCATCATCAATACTACAAATGAAAGATTTGAGGATATTAGAATTGGAGAATAACCCCTTCAACCAGAACATCATGTCTTTTTTGAGCAAGATACCATATAAGCCACAGACATTGGAATGGTTACAGGAGATTAAGATGTTCTTAAGAACGCATAGCTCTGCCATTGTCGAGGAGGAGGAAGAAGAGGAAGAGACTGGTGTTAAACCTGAGGGAAATCTTGAAAGCCATACAATGGAGGAGCAAGGAGAACTTGATCTTGATGATCCATTGCACCCTATAGATAACGTCAATGTCAAGTCTAGTGACCCATCAGCTCCTCAGCACAAGCCTCTTGAAAGATCTAGAAGTATATCAGATACACATATCTCTTCTAGGGCTGCAAAGAGAATGGGGTTCATCAACGTCAAGAAACCAATATCTGAAGAGGACGATGAGATTCCAGGATTGAAGAGAAACAGATCTCTATCTGCAAATGCCTTCTCTCAAAGCTCTATGATACAGCCGGTATTCCAGCAAACTCCAATTCATAATCACATTTCTCAACAGGGAACGAATGATACAGAGACACATATTACACCACCGAAAGGTGAGCAACCTTTAAGTATACGGATCCCCACGGCTCTCGAACTAGCATCACCAATTGCAGCCGAGAAGTTAGATTCTATCCCAGAACATAGATCTAATGACTACTTCAAGAGGCTATCAACTCTACCAGAGACCAGGTCAAACCTCACACAATTGAAGATTGTGGACATTGCAAGAAAGGTTTTATTCGCCTTTTCTGAATTCCAATCAACGATGAAGAAGATGAATACCTTCTGTACAGATAAACAGTTGATCATTGACATGGTTTCACAGTTATACTTTTCCAAGAATCTTATTGAGCATCTCGTGGAGAGCTTGGAGAAATCAGAGGCCAAGAACAAAGAAGGACTTGTCTCAGTGGATGAGATTCTCAAGGTTGTTACAGAGACTGTTTCATCGTTCAAAAAGATGATTGAGACTTTAAGCATGAACTTGACAAGTTATACGAAGAACACTGACAATTGTTTCAAAAGAATGTTGTTACTATCGTTGTTCATGTGCTATTCAGAAATCCTGAATGCGTATAACATTCTTGCTCCAGATATTACAAAGAAAGACAAAGTCACGGCGAGAAACCAACTTCCAAACCTGAGGATTCCGGAGGCCAACATGGGCATCACTCAGCAACAACTGGCAGAGTACAAGGAAGTTGATGATAATCTGTATGACTCTCTCAATAATGTTTTACAGTCTTCCAATGACATTTATGCCGAGTTGAACGAGGCGATTTCGAAAAGTGCGATAGCTAATGCCAAATCTGAAGACTATCAACTATCTGCCACTGCAATCCAAAGAATTAAAGAACTCACTGGAACGTGTGTGAGCTCTATGGACCAGAATAAGAAGATCAAGATCAAACTTGGGAACACCAAGAATCTTACAATCCCTGACAAGAAGAAGTTTTACGATGAACTCAACACTTTCCTCAAATCCATTATAACTATTTTGGCTTCAACGAAGGCCATCATGAACGAATCACCGATTTTGAACGAGGTTCGTCCTTCATTAGCCAGCTTAACCAAAGCAACGAAAGATGTCACTATTATGCTTGAGGTGAGTTCATATCGAATGATCAACGATTCCTTTAGTGCTTTGAACAGTGCAGTCCCTCAATCTACAGCAACAGCACCGATGATTTCCTCAATTCCTTCGGTGATGTCCATTCCTCAGATGAATACACCATTTGTTAACATGCCAAGTGCTTCGACGCCTATGCAAACAGCTTCTAATCCATTTGAAGCTTCTATGGTTAACAACATGCAAAGCATGAGTACTACAGAACAGGAATAAATTAGCAAGACTCTTTACACCATAGTATGACACACGTAGTGCTCGTAGTATACATTGAACTGAAGATTGAATCCATATTAACAAAAAGAAAACCATAAAACACACGCCAGCTCCCAAAGCATCCTTCATTTCAGTGGATACCGTACATCATACCATCGTCTGTTACAAAGATGTTACCGTTCTCGACAATCTTTTGTACACCAGCTTCGAATTCTTGTTGACTGAACAAGTCTTCATTTGGTAGCTTCTTATTAACAGCCTCAAAAAGAGACTCCTTGGTGAAACCAGTATCTTGTTGGAATTGTTCGTCCCTGAGTAATTCTGAAACAATTCTGTTGAACGTACGCAATCTGTCAGGTGATATGGTGTTTTCATGGCCTCTAGGACGAGTTCGTTGCTCTGACAAGGGGACTCCAATGATTTCTGGCTCTTGAATAGTCAGCTGTTCCATCCGTTCCTGTGTTTGCTGAGTCTCCTGGCTCTCTTGAGTCTCATCCTGTGGAACTGGTTCGTAATCAGCCTCCTCATGTTGGGAAGGTTCTTGCAGCTGTGAAGAATCACCAGCTTGTCTTACACGTCTCGTTTGAGAGCGTGTTATTCTACCACCGGTTGGAGGTGCTGTGAGATGATCACCATCGTCGTCAAGCCTTACGTCAGCTTCGATATCCTCGTCATCATCGCTATTCTCTTCACTATCTTCGTCACTGTCTTCAACCTCTTTGTCGACCTTGGCCTGTTTGGCTGGTCTTTGGTCGCCAATATTTCTGAATAAAGCAGAGTACAACATCTCTTCCGCCACTTTTGTATCACGAACCTCGACAGACTTACTTAGTCTCACCTTCGCATGGGCAGTGGCCAGACGAATCAGAGTCTCCAAAGTACGAGCAGTGATTGGAGCTGTTCTCTTTGACTTTGTATCTTGACCATTTCTCAGGTTAGTATAGATTTTAACAACATGATCGGCAGCTCCTTGTGTCAGGACAGGTTCAATACGGGATTTGGCATATTGAATGTATTTTCTCAAGAATGGGATGGTAAGGATCTTTGGTTTCTTAGCACCACGAGTACGTTGTGCTGCAGCGACACCAGCATGTAAAACAGGGTTATACTTCTGGTACATTGGTTGTTCCTCCTCTTCTTCTTCAGCAGCATCCTTTTCCAGTCTTTCGTTACCAACAGCCAATGAAATAGTAGATGTCTCTCTGATTGGTTCACCTTCTGCATAACCAGTTGGCACGTATCTGTGCGTTCTCAAGATGTGCTCAGAGATGGAACGGTCTCTTGGTGAATTAACGTCATCAGTCACGATGAAGAGCAAATCGAAACGAGAAAGAAGGGAGTCTGGAAGGCCAATGTTATGATGTGGATCTCTATGAACGTCATATTGACCATACAGTGGGTTAGCAGCTGCAATGACAGAGCAACGGGCGTTCAGAGAGGTATGAATACCAGCTTTGGCAATGGTGACTGTTTGTTGTTCCATAACTTCGTGGATAGCCACTCTGTCCACGTCCGACATCTTATCGAATTCATCAATACAGACAATACCTCTGTCTGCGAGGACCATCGCACCAGCTTCCAATCTTCTCTCACCCGTTTCCTTGTCGTGAGTCACGGCAGCTGTTAAACCAACACCTGAAGAACCTTTACCAGTGGTTGCAATTGCCAAGGAGGCTGTGTTCAGCACAAATCTCAGCATTTGAGATTTAGCAGTAGAAGGATCACCAACCATGAGGATGTTGATATCACCTCTTAAATGCGAACCGTTTTCCAAGTTCTTCTCAACACCACCCAGCATCATCAATAGCACGGCCTTTTTGATATACTCATGACCGTAGATCGATGGTGCCAACGACTGAGCCATAATGGTAAACACATCTTTGTTCTTGGATAAGCTGTTTATGTTTCTGATATCCGAGTCTGTGATGGTTTCTCTTGCAGAGACACCTGTTGATCTTGCGTGTAATGGATACACAGAGTTTGCGACAAGCACCGTGAAGAAAGACGAAGAGGTATTGGCACCACCACCTAGTGACCTGTAGACACCGACGATCTGCACACGATCACCAGGTTTTACAGAGTCTACAAGATCATCACCAAGCACAACTTCCAACGATCTTGGTAGTTGACCTGCTGGAGCTCTCTCAGGCATCTCCTGAACTGTGATTGTTTGATGATCCTTATAGATGGAGTAACCGTACTCTGTCGTCAACTTGTTCCCCTCTGCGTCCTCCGTTGGGTACACAGGAGGTGTACTGATGGGGTTGAACGACGTGGTTTGATCGTTGAAGTCTCTTGCGTGGAAACGACCCGTGCTTTCGGCGTAGTGTACCGATCTGAGGATCTTTGGCCGGACAAGGGAAGCCCTGGTCACGATACCTTCCACTGATATCATTTTGGACAGGTGTGTAGATCTGATGGTTCTTGGTGAAACTGAATGGCTACCAAAGGCTCCCTTAAAGGCAACGTGATACACTTGAAACTCTGGGTCATCTGTCTCTCTGAATGCCGGATTCAAAGGATCAAAATGCGATCCTGCCTGGTCTTTCAGCGTTCTGTCGAAAGCTGGCAGGTATTCACTTGGTTCATTCAGCAGCCCACTCCACAGCCCCTTATCGAACTCTCTTATCTCATCGATTGAAACACATAGCCTGTTTTCATTCTTCATCAGCATTTCACGGATGAGTTCTTTATAATCAGTGGGCTCTTCCTCAGCCAGGAACTCGTGGAAACGACGCATACGGTCGCCAAACACGGCATCTATCGCATCAATTGGTTCTTCCATGGTGCTTCAATTTCACTAGATACTTTCCTTATTGGCTGGAAAGGTGTGTTTAACAGGAAGTTTGACGTATTTTTCCTTCTTCTCGATTTTTCGATATTTTTTCCCTTCCAACTGACGCGTAAAAGGCGGAACACGAAATGACGCGTTTAATTAAGTTACCAAAATGGGAAATGCGAGGACACGGTCACGTGAATGTACCGGAATTCCAGTTCAACAAACGATTACGTAATCTGTTTAGGCTTCTATGGATAGAGTATATATGGATATAGGAGGGAACGGCACTGGTCTGGTAAAATGTGGTTGGTTAAGTACAACTTAGAAGCTATCAGAAATACATTGATCATTATGGTAAACTATGAGGAGTCTGTACGACAGCCATTTTACGTTGGATGCGGGTTCATTGGATCTGCCTTTGCTTCTTCCGTGAGCTTTCTAGCCTTGTAGTTTCTCTTCTGTTCTGACTTTCTTGGTCGTCCTCTTCCTCTCTTCTTCTTCTCAACTGGGGAAGAAATCCTATCGGAAGAGCATGCTATCCTTTGCCTCTTCCTAGTGTTCCCTCTGGTGTTATTCATGGTTTTGTTATCATCTTTTAACGCTTGAATCGCCTTCAGTAGAATCTGCGAGTCGAATTGCCTCACCGCTGATCTGGAAGTTTGAGACGTCTTCTTCCGTATGATACATCTATTGGCCTTTGAGAAACAACTCGGGTATTCGAACATTGGTGGTGTGAAATTGGAATGCCTCTTTCTACTGTCTTCATAGATGATATGTTTGGCAAATTGGGGCATTGATGGGATAAGGGCGTGGCCGTTGAGAACCCTTCTCATCTTCACACAAGTGATATGTGGACATTCGAAGAATGTATACGCTTGATTGCGACGATGGGAACAGTTGTATGTAGACTTTTCTTCCGTTTTCCCCTCTTGTGAGATGGTGCATCGCTTCTCAGTAACAACGGCTGTTCTGGCTCGCAATTGAAGATAAACATAAGCACGAAAGTTGATAAACGAATCGCATTTTCTCATCTTCTTCGCATAAACTCGCAACACAGCTAAAAGGTCCCTAAGAGACAAATCACAGTCCCAAGATACACTATGCTTGTGAGTCGTCATTTGTGTTTCAGGTGAACTCTCATCAACAGTCACACTAGTCTCTTTGCTATTTAGACAAGAAGCAGTGATAATGGTTGTTGAGTACAAGAAATAGCCATAGTTTGTGAGTGTCTCGGTATACTCTGGCTCATCCTCTTCATCAACAAAGTCACTTGCATCATCCGAATCGTTCCCGTCATCGAAATCACTGGCACCATTCATTTCATCATCATATTGAGGCATCTGTCTCACTGTATTCCAATCAAAGGTCATGGACTCTGCGAATTTCACCTTGTCGCACTGAATCGACAGCACTTTGACAATGAGATTAATTGGGTTCAATCGCCTAAATGCGTATATCTCTGCATTCAAAATCTCACAATGATTGGATGTCATAATGTCAAACCTTGGTGTCACCAAATTGTAAAGTTGAAGACCTCTAGCACACTCGTACATGTTGGTAATGAGATTATAAGTACTGTTGACTGTCTCTCTCTTATGCCTCTCAAAGAAACCCCCCCTCATTGTTTCTTGGATTGGTGGGATCTTTTCGGGATCAGATTCAAATATCAACTGGAAAAAGTTATGTTGCATAACCCTTCTATGCTTTGCAATTGTGTACTTAGAGAGGTTTCTTTGGACGTGTTTGGAACATGCGAAGCTTTCAATCGGAACACCACACCGGGTTCTCAACATATCCAAGGCCTTCTTGATACCCTTATCCTGCTCCGATATGATTTGTAATGGGGGAATGCTCTCCTCAGTGATACTATCATCATGCAATTGCAGAGATTCCCGTAACTTCTTCCAATGCGATCCACCGTTCTTCTTGAAGAATGTGTATAGGAAGGTAAACCATTCTAATCCACATTCTGCATTCTTTGAAAGCATCATACCCAGGGGAACAAGTCCCTTGGACCCAGCCTGCCCAACAATAGTGTATAATGTACGAAAATCATCTTTGTATCTTTGACTATTGTGCAAAGACAAATGGCAAACATCTAATGAGAGTGTTGGTATCAAGCTTTCGTAGAGCTCGTCATCAATAGAGTTGGAGAAATAGACGCACTTGATTTCATCTTGTGAATAAGATAATAAATCGAATACTGGGGAAGACAGCTCTGAGGAGTTTGCAAGAGCTTCCAACAACTTTTTTGCCTTGTCAGTGTTAAACTTTAGCTTCTTGTCACCTGCATGTGTAGTCCTCTTATCATTAGAGAAAGCTCTAAGATTGTTGAGTACTAAGTTCTCACCCTGAGTCGGCTGCAGGACTATCGTCAGATTGATCACTTATGGCACCTTCCAATTGTTGTAAAAACTCGTCCTGTGCCTTTTCCCATTCAACAGTTGAATCACTAACAGCTGGTCCAACTGCATCTTTCGTTAAAGCAGGGGCACCCTCTACTTCTTGCTGTGGTTCATCACCTGGTTCATCACCTCCCCAATCGGAAATCATTCTGGAAAGCTCAATCGCATCCTCCTTGCTTAGGATGTTGTCGATATACCTGTTATCTTGTAGAAGTAATGCTATCTCAAAGTGATTCAACCCCTCTTGTACACCATCATCAGTGGCCTGGTTATTCCTCTGATTATGATTTGTATCTGATGTGAACAGTGCAGTCAATAACATCTGTATAGTGTATTTGCCAGTCTGCGTTCTATCAGTGAATTTGGAGAACGATGTCCCCGATAAGGCTCTGTGCAGAGACTCGTACATCTGCTGGACTGGTGGTTTCTCTGGCTGTTCAAATTGAACCTGGCATATATGTTCTATTTCCTCCTGTGACTTGGTGTAAATATTGTTCAAGATGAGATGAGTTGCCGTGAGGGTTAATTTTCTCTGATATGAAACATCTTCAGAGGGCTAAAATACCTTCAGTGCTGTTTCATCTGCGTCTTGAAGCCATTCAAATATCGCTCTGCCCACGTTAGATAATGTGTGGGATCTGATCTTTGAATAGAGCAGATAGTCTTTGAGACAACCGAAACTATCAACCTCTACTCCATCTTTGTTTGTACCAAAATAGCCATCACGCCTCAGCAGTTCAACAACTCTCTCTAATTCAGGACCCCTAAGCTGTTGTATTTCAGCAAGGCTTCTAGCCAGCGCCCTTTTGGTCAGCTTTGGAACCTCACAACAATGTTCCTGTTTGATATTACCTACGGAGCATTGTATGTCATAATCTAGGATCTTAGTTTGACAAAATGTGCACCGTGCCATATAACTATTGTTAGGTCTTTGTATAAATAAAACAAAGATACCAAGCTCCAGTAGACAGTAGATGTGAATAGCTTGCTGTAATATGTGCAAAGACGATAACCTCTCCTCCACAACGATACCTTTTGTTTGTCTTCTCTAGATTCCTTCGTTAATGAGAGACTTTGCGGTATCCTAAAGAAAGCTTTTCAAACTAGTTCTACCTCCATGCAAAGTAGAGTCAAAAGTTAATCGTGGCAGAAGTACAATGTCCCCATTAGTTGATAGTTTATCTGCGACGCTTGTCTCGTTTGCCTCACAATCCTCAACATCCGTCACGGTTTGAGTTTGTAGTTCAGCACTAAAATCAACACCTTGGTACCAAGAAGTATCTGACATCATGTCCTGATGACACATGTTGAACTCGACCAAGCGTCTTCTCAAATCACTTATTACATTTCCCATATTGAAAGAAAAGTTGCTCTCGAGACTGTTGAACAGTTCGATACACGTGTGGAAATGATGTTTACATTCGTTGAGATGGTCTTTTAGGAGTCTTTTCTCCGCCACTGGTGAAGATGATATTTTCTTCTTCACAGAAGCGAGCATATCGATCATCCAAGGAGAAAGGGACATGACGATATCCGAGTCTGGTAGAGACATTGTGATTGACAATGATCTGTATTAGCCAAACGTATTTGTTGTTTTGTCTATGGGTTTGTTCACATTCTTTGTTGGAATATTTCACGCGTCTGTGTTATTGTTTTGACCATGAGGTATGGGTGTGGTGTGTGGATGAATG